CCTAAGGGCCACCTTAGCAAAGCGCATCCCAGGCTGCATAGCCGCACTACCCTACCCAACCATACCACACATAAACATGACACCACCCCCGGGGTTTACACAGACGAGCCGGTGAAGCAAGAAGAGCGCCAGAAGAAAGGGCCCTAGCCGGCGGGGCCCAGCCAGGACAAAAGGAGGTCCCACAAAGCGCCTACACCGGCCGCATTTGCGGTCGGGGTAGACGACGGATGAGGCCCACCTACGAAGATGAGGCAGGATAAAGAGGGATAATCCCCCACAATCCCAAATCATTGAGGCCAATTTCTAGCTATGGAATAATGGCGAGGTTCTAATTTTATTAAGGTTAGGTTTTTTACCATTCGGGCTCCAATTTCTAATGTAACGAGCGCGCGCCAGTCTAGGTGGTCTTTGAAAGTAACTAAATTTTCTATGCAATCAAAGCAATACTGCATTTTTTTTGACATTTACGCAATGCAATATGCATATGACAATTATATAAAAATAACAGTATCTATGTGGCAGATTTTGTAGTTTTAGTAGTACACAAAAAGTGCTTTGTGGTTTTTGGAATCCTATACTTAAAAAGGTTTCAGTTTTTTTATTTGTTTAACAGAAGCTAATTCCGTGTACATTAATCATACAAAATGGATAGAAGAAAATTTCAAATCCAAAGTAAAGTGGACGAAATAACAGAAGAAAAGAATTTGTTGCAATGTTATTTGGATAAAATTATCAATCAAGTAAGTAGCACTATTTTGTGTTAATATAGATTATTAATAATTAAATGTAACTTCAGATTCATTCATGCGTTGATCTTGTCAGTGACTCAAAAAAATTAAAACACAAAGATTGCACCCTAATTTTTAAATATGAATTGGAGGTGTTGAAGAAGATTACTGAAATGATTTTTGAATTAGAGTGCCTCATCGATCAAAGTCCTTTGGATCAACTAAAAACGGCAACATTCGAAGATTACTCGAGTGTTGCAATTAAATCGGTAGAGTTAAAAACAGAAGACACAATGAATATAGAAATGCTTGAACCAATAACATCGCCTCACCAATCAGAACTCAGTAATATAGCTTGTTCATCCGCCCAACCTGAAGAAGTAAATTCAAGAATCAGTAATACTAATACTGAAACGCAGAATATTTTTTCTGATGATGATATCCATGTTCTAAGGGGCACTCTGAAAAAATTCAGTGAGAAATTAGGATTGAATCCTGACTATATTTCTTCTTTGACAGGTGTGTACCAAAAGTCCTCGTTTAATTCTGTAGAGTATTATAATAAACCGTCCACTAGTCAAATAATCGAGTGTAGAATACATGGTACAAATTTAGATTTAGAAGAGGAAGTGGTTATCGACAATGGGTTTGAAATCCCAGAAAAAGATACAAACAAAACATCTGAAAATGAATCACATGAAAATTATTATGATGTTTTACAAAATGTTCAGTCTTCCACCTCCTCAGAAAGGGAGATGGTAAATGCTGCTTCACTTCAAAGTGCCCATGACTTAACTTTAATTAAAAGTGTTCAAGAGGATGATTCTAATGAAGCTGAACCTGAGAAATTGTACGCTGTCGATGATGATTCTTCAGATATAAGCTGTTTGAACATGACTGAAAGTTGTTCGAGCGAAGAATGTACAACAGATCAAGTGAATCACTGCCTTATTCCCTTAGTTGACGAAAATAGTATAATTGTAGGTAGTATTGTTGACGAGGGGCATCTTAAGACTGATAGTAGCGTAGAGTCAGCAAATAAAGTCACATATAGTGCTATAGAGAAATTGAACAATATCAAATTTTTGGATAGACATGCCGAAGCTGTGGCTAAAATGCAAGCGATTGACCAACCTGACATATCGTTAAAACCTACTGAGCACCGTATTAAAAACAATCTGGAAGCAAATGACAAAAAGTCTAAAAAAAAGAAGAATAAGAAAAACAAGTGCAAAGAAAACGAATTTTATGGTAAGTTTGACACAAGTATCTAGTTTTAACATTGGCTTTATAAGCTACAGTGGTATTCTTGCAAGAAACTGAATTTGTCATAATGAGTTGCTGTGTTACTACCAAATATTTAGGTGATTTAACATATAGTTTACTGACTACCAGTATTTTATTTGAAATATTTAATGAAAAAGTTGTAGATAATAGCATCATTTATATCTGTCCACACTTGAACATGATTTACTTAAAAGAATGCCTTGGTATAAAACTAAGAGAAATCTTTGATTGTAATTCATTATGTTTTAGAATTGGTATCAAAATCCACGCCTCGGGTAGGTATGAACTGTGCTTTCAGTCACATTGAGACTCCCAATGAATTTTATTTACATATTGTTGATGATGAATCTATGATTATTGATGGGTATGTATATATATTGATGGGTATGTATTATATGATCTAATCATAATCATATACAGGCTAGTTCGATTTTTTATTGATACATCTACTATATTCGAAAAATGTTTACTATCATAATCCATCTATTTTTGAAGTTTGACGAAAAAAGTATATTTTAACTTTGCCTGCATCTACATTTAATAACATAAAAATTTGTATGTACTTTTTAGTTTGACAGAAAAATTGAATGTAATGCTTGGTGGCACGTTATCCGATTACAGCTCAAAAGAAGATGCCTTTAATGCAGTAGGAACATTCTGTTTTTGTTACGTGTCATCTTACAGCTCATGGTACAGGGCTAAAATCGTTGATTGGGAGTTGGTACGTGTTTTCTTAATACCAATTTTGCAATGTCCATGTCATTTTTCTTTATTAGGAAAGCAAATCTGAGGACGTAGTCGTACAGTTTGTGGACTATGGGGATAAAAGAAGAATGTCGTATAAAAACTTAAGAAGGATCACTAAAGAGATGGCTGAAATTCCTATGCTGGCAGTCCGCTGCCATTTGTCTTTGGTAAGTCATTGATAACGTATCATTTTCTAAAAATTAACTTCCCAATTTTAGATGTATCCACCAAATTCCACATTCACAAACAGGCTGTCCGAATGGCCTTCAGCCACAATTGATGCTTTGATGGACCTGAGCCGGTTGTTGGTACATGGAGAAGGCGAAAGGGACAAAATTTTCCGGATTGTCTACGCAAATCAGGAAGGGTAAGTATGAATGATGTTTGTAGACAATATTGTGTGATATTTAAAGTCAGGCATTTTTCCTAGTTTTTGATAATTATGTCGTTTTGAAAGCAGGCGATAGATTTCTTTTTAACAATCTTTAATAGGCTTCCTTAATGTTATTCTAAAAGTATCTGATAGTCTGGCTTCGAAGTTGATACTATAAATCCGGATTTTTCCAAAAGTATTAACAATATTTCAATCCATAAACTTCGATAAAATTGCAGCGGTGTCAGAGGTGCTCCAAGGCTCTCATTTGGGGGCCTCGTTCTTTAGTATTTTTCTAAATAATATTCAGGTGCTCTCAGATAAATTTTTATTGCTTTTTTTGTACTTTCCCACTCAGTGTGTACTGAGAATATTTCCAACCTCTATTATTCAACTTGCTATACAGGATATATTGCTGCACTTGCCCAGAATGAAGATGTACTCGATGTTCACTGAGGCAGCAATGCTAATAAGTCAGAAACACTGTAATTTAGTGACAGTATGGATATTAAATCCTTGCAAATGTTATATTATATCTTACACTATTAGTTTCCGTTCAATACATTGAAGACTATGACTCTTCTCTGATATCTATTTCTCATTTTTTTTGACATAACGTTACCTCCAAAGCATTAATTAACAGTGTGTTTTATTAAAAGATTTACAAATGACTTCTTCAACGCCAATTAATTGGCATTGAAGAAGTCTAATAAAGTATTTTATTTTTCTTTAGTATCCTCTTACTGAGACTACTAAACCTCTATTCAGCTGTATTCTCTAGATTAAAATATTAATTTCGACCCTACCGCTAAAAATAACTCCAATTACGTCAATTTCAGTTTATAACAGTTGAAAATGGCAGAAGTAAAAAAAATTTCTTTCTTAAACAATATAATTGAATTTTTATTTTAAATTATTGCACAATTATAACATTCCAAGATTTAAAACGTAATTTTTTATCATTTTTTAGTACAGGGGTGATTTATAAGGGTTAAAAAGTGTAATGAGATACAAATTCTTTCATAAGCAATGAGGGAATTTTTATTTTAAATAATTGCACCGTTAAAGCATTCCAAGCTTTTAAAAAGAAATTTTTTATCATTTTTGTTAATACAGGGATGGTTTTTAGGGATTGAAAGGGAAAAATTTTTTTAGCTATAAGGTAACTTTTATTTTAAATAATTGCACGATTTAATCATTCCATATCTTTAAAAAGTAATTTTTGATCATTATTTTTTGCCTAGGGGTAGTTTTTAAGGGTTAAACAAAGGGACGAAAAGATCAAATATATCATAAAACATGTTCGAGAACATGGAACATTATTTAATATTTGTGCTTGAACAAGATTTTTATCAATAAAATACTTAAAACTTAATTTTTTCAATTTTTTTCACTTAAGGGTAGTTTTTACACCTATAAAACAAACAGCGTCAATCGGGTTTATGTCGCTTTTGAACTTGAGCCTAAGATGAGCCTTATTCTAAGTTTTCATGCAAATCCATGCAGTTTCAAACAATTCGGAAGTTACAGCTGATTTTCAGCTTCAATTACTGTACTACTAAACAAGTACATTTTTTATGTAGAATTGAACGTTCTTTTAGATTTTTAATTTTTTTTAAGCATAGTTCAACAGATTAAAAAAACATGTTTTGATTTCCCTAAATAATACGGTAAAATTAGCGCCCTCTAGGAGCAACGTCAAAACAAGCTTCAAATTCGTAATTCTCACACCAAAAACCCAACACTACAAATTTTCAGAGAGAATTTTCATTAAAATTTAAACCTTGAACACCCTGTATTTCGTAAACTAGAGACATTCGTATAAGGCTCAAATGATGAGCTCAAACGTAACATTTTGGTGTCTAGTATCTCCAGCTTAGTATTGAACCATTCTTTCTGACTCATCCTGTTTAATGTCGCCTACAAAATACAGATAAAAGTTGCTATTGCGAGTTGTTATTTTACCGAGATGAAAAAAGTATGTACTTACTTACCACCTTTGCTACGCACCCTGTCTGTCGAATCCCGAAAAAATGATGGCGCAAAACATGTTACGCGGAAAAAGTGGAAATTGTTTCTAAATTGCGAAACGAGAAAGTGAGTGCCGTCGAAGTCCACATATTTTTGTGTAAGACACTTATGCTTTCAAAGTATTCTTTTCTGTTCCCGAGGAACGCAGTATGGCGTATATGAACAAGTTTTTATCCAAATCGGGTGGATGCCNCAATGCCATTTAAATATTTTGGGGTGATGCTTACCCTTGCTTGGGGGGTGAAAGTGGCGGAGTCAAAAATACCAGCAAAGAATGTCCCCCTTTAATCTAAAATCGACGGGTCTGAGCGTTTTTCTACAATCTTGACGCAGTTCCTGAAAATGGCTCTGTTTCGTTTTCATTTGGCCACCCTGTATTTAAAATTATGATAAAGTTATACACAATTTGTAGTTAGTTGTAAGTTTTATTCATTTATTATTTTTTTTTTTCATGTACGCTGTATATAAATGTAGAGTAGATCTAGAGTCGACGGGTAAGAAAAGAAATTTTAATAATCATTATCCACTACGCCTTATTGATGAAGAAACGTAACATATTACCATCCTTTCCTCTAATACTCGTCAAAAGTTTTTTTCTTGCAAGGTTCCCAAAGATCAAATTTATAAATAGAACTTTTGACCTTCTCACGGCAGCAGCCGGGCCCCTATCGGGCCGAAACAATGTTAAATTATTCGAAACATTTCGCAGTCGCCCCGCGGTGGATTCCGGCGGATCAATCTCAATATGCTGGGTAGCTGGAATACCCGAATCAATCAAAATTACACGTAACTCCGACTCAGTTGAAATAGCTTGTTCGCCGGCAATTAACGCGGATGATTCAGTGTTTTGTCGGTCTGAATATAGTAATTTGGGTGTAATTATATGATATAATTCATCCCCGTAGACCCGACCTGGTTTGGGCAAGATGGATCGACCCCTGCTTCGGTTGGTTCGCCTACGGGCGCCGAGGTCTGAAGGCTTTCCCTGTTTGGGTATGGCGTATGGCTCTTCTTTCGGCGATAATCGTGTAAGATGGAGATGGAGTGATTATTTATTACAAAGTTTTCCAGTAAATTCTAATTTTTAAAGGAAATTGTTCATTGTGAAGCAAAAAAATATTACTGAGGCAATTCCAAAAACTCCAAAAAACACCTTTTGTAGTTTTAATATGGTACCGAAAACAGAAACGTGGTACAATTGTAAATGTTAAGATAGAAGATTTTTTAATGTAAGATCAATGTCTTTAATAGTATTAGAAAGATAACTAAAAAAAGTATGGCCCCATCGGTAATACAGACAAAGATTTGTTGGTTTAAATTAATTTATAGATACTTTGTCTTTCTGAAAATTATGTTCATAGTGAAAAAGTTCCTAAATATTCATTCACGGGTTTGCTCCTGAAACTCATTCTTCTTTACATTTTCTTTGATTTTAGGAATCTACAGGAACAATACGAAAGAAAGTTATTCCAAGTTTTGTACAATTCATTATCCAGAAACAGCTTTGTTCAACTTTCTTCTTTGCTAGACTTTGCTCCATCCCCGGAAAGAACCTTGCTTTTTATTAAACCTTGATTTTATTTTTCTTTATGAGAATGCTCTCTGTAATTCAATGATTTTTTTCTTAGTGAACCCAATCCCAAACTTCCATTCTGTTCCTCATCATTTTTTTTAGTTTAAGCAGCTCACCAAAAATGAAACTGAAAGAATGTAGGTCTGAGTTTTACCCAAGAATTTCTACAATCTACAAATAGCAATGTTTAATATTTTTTGTTAGTACATCATATTAGGTAAAACCTCCCCCTTTATCCTGTCGTGGTTTTTATTTAATTTTTCTGGAAACATATCAATTTATTCAATTCTTTTTTCAAATGTTCATCAGAACATTCTTAAATTTTCGTGAGCCTCTGTCAGCTGACGAGTCTAGGCTTGGCTTGAAACGTATGTGACTAACTACCTCCAAGGACTAGGTTGAGTTGATTAATGGGTTAATGTGCGGGGAAGGTCTTCCAGTTGGTCATTGAATTCGATAGAAAAAATTAGGTTAGAACACGACTAGAAGGTAACGTTAGTTTGTGTTTCTAAAAGTTTTGCTGGATCTAGTGTTATATCCAGGTGACACAAAATTTTAACTATAGACTAAGAATGTATAAGTGAACTAGGTGACTTACGCATTTACTTGGGTTGGTGAAATAATACCAATCTGGTTGCTACACAAGAAGAGAAAAAGTAAGTTGCCTCCAGATTTACAAGAAAATAAATTAAGCAATCTTATATCTCCTTTGACTCCAAAACTCTGCAACCACTTCTCTGAATTACTTCAGCAATATTTGCCAAGGACCAAATAATTAATTTGCTAACTACAGTGACTTTGGAAGCGTTTATACACCAAGTTTTCCTGTCTTGTACCATAAGCTGAAACAGTAATTAGGCAGACAAAATGTCTACATAATCAAAAAATTACCATTCCTTTTAGGAATGCAAAATACTAATCAATTAGCCACAAATTTTGGAAGGTAGCAACACTAGAAAACGACAATTTTTATATAACTTATCTCAACATGTTGTATGGAGACTACATATTAGCTATTACCGTATATTAGCTAATACCTTAATGTTAGCTAATACCACAATATTAACTAATACCGTAATATTAGCTAATACCATAATATTAGCTAATACCACAATATTAGCTAATACCATAATATTAGCTAATACCACAATATTAGCTAACACCATATATTACCTAATCCCNTGCACCGTTAAAGCATTCCAAGCTTTTAAAAAGTAATTTTTTATCATTTTTGTCAATACCGGGGTGGTTTTTAGGGGTTGAAAGGGAAAAATTCGTTTATTAGCTGTAAGGTAACTTTTAGTTTAAATAATTGCACGATTCATTCCAAATCTTTAAAAATTATTTTTTTTATCATTGTTATTTTGCATAGGGGTAGTTTTTAAGGGTTAAATAAAGGGTCGAAAAGATCAAATATATCATAAAACATGTTCAAGAACATGGAACATTATTTAATCTTTGTGCTTCAACAAGATTTTTATCAATAAAATGCTTAAAACTTAATTTTTTAAATTTTTTTCACTTAGAGGTAGTTTTTACTCCTAAAAAACAAAAAGCGTCAATTGGGCTTATGTCACTTTTGAACTTGAGTTTAAGATGAGCCTTATTCTAGTTTCATGCAAATCCATAGTTTTAAAGAATTCGGAGGTTACAGCTGATTTTCAGCTTCAACGACTGTACTAATAAAGCTTGGAATGATTTAATTTTAAGGGCCATTATAACGATTATAAATAATAGAAATCAGTTATACCATTTGCCAATAGGAGGTTACAATTTTAACTGTGGCCTTAACGTCAAAATTTAACCAAAATCATTACAGAATAGCCCGATTATCAACTTTAAAATATCTTGAATGTGATCAAACCATGTTGGTTGCATGATATCCCACAATTTTTAATTGGAAGTTTTTTTATTAGGATTCAATCCTGATAAGAAGTGGGCCAGGGTTTGGATCTTATTGGGACACCCAGTATAATGTTAATAGCTAGCAATTTTCACTCAATTTTTTCATTTTTTTTTCTACTTTTGGAAGTAGGTTGTACTTATGTAATTTCTAATTGTGTTTTTGTTACTTTTTCAGTGTATTCTATTCCCCTGCAATTTTTTATAACTTATCGATTGACTACGATATTAATTATAAATCCGGCATCTTAGGATAAATACTATTGTAAAATGCATTTTTTTGTAGAAATTCGGTGTCTATTGACTTGCACAACCTTCAGGACAGTGAAGAGGAGACTGTCGGTCAGATTCTCTTGGATTTGGGCCTAGCGGTGCAAATTATAGAAGAGCGTGAGTAGAAATTTGACGAAATCATCTTTATAGCTTTCACCATTATAAAAAATTTACAGATGACGAAGAACATGCAGAGTTGGACATGTTTCTGCAAGACGTGGATTCCCTGGAGAGGGCGGACAATATCAACGAGGCTGTGATGGGGTACGATCCAAGGGACGAGGTCAGAATATGTCGCTTCACCAAGAGCGACGGTACTTGCTTTAAAGGAAAGAACTGCAAACTTGAACATGTCCCTTTGTCGAAAGGTAATTCATGAGTCTGTGCATAGTGTGTTGGTAGATTTGTGCTTTTTTTTTGTAGTTAATTGTTCTTGAATAAACATGATTTTTTTCATCTACGATTTTTCATTCATGTTTTTCACCACTCATAAATTTGCTGTTGGCACATTTCTTGCTTGCGTTGAGATGAAATTGTAATATCCATGAAACATATACAGGGTGTCCACAAATTTCTCCGACAACATTTGACTGCATATTCACGACCATAAATAAATACCATCTATGAAAAAAGATTTAAAAAAACTTGGATTTTGAGTTGCAGGACTTCAAAAATAAAACTAATTCAACTAATAGCTTCATAACCCTTTACCGATCGTATTAAAATTTGGCACATTTATTTGGACTAATATGGTGTATTATTTCTTAAAGCTTTAGTCAAATCGATATATTGGGTGATAGTTTTCTCTGGTTACCTGTCCCTTTTAGCCATAAAAACTTCTACAGTGGTCATATTTTTTTAAATTGATTGCCTTATATTTCGGGAATGGATGATCAGATAACTGACATCCCTATCGTAAAGTTCGACTTTTTGTCAGCGTACTTACCCAGAACATTTTGATGTGCAGGTGCTATTTGTGTTGTTTACAGTGTCCGGAAAAATTAATCTTGGCCAAGAAATGGAATTAAGTTGTGAACATTTCCGTGCGATTATTTTTTACAACTTTTGACATGTACTATCTCAATAACGGTGCATCGATAAATTTAATTTGACTTTTGACGATGAAGCATCAAAAAACAGTTCATTGTGGCCGTGGTTCACTCACCAACGAATTACGTGAAGGTCTTCCAAAATCGGTACTTGTTCCAGAAAACATTGATCCTGTGCGTGAACTGATATTGCAAGATTGTCATGTGACTTATCGTTAGATTGAGACTTCCTTCGACATTAGTATGTCGGATGGTCAATTCTGAAACCATTTGTTTGCTAGAAATCTTTGGGAAATAAGGGAAACCGACCGTCGAAGATGCGTTCTCCACTAGGAGAATGTGACCTCTCACACATCGCCTCAAAAAAGAGACTTTTTGAGAATTGAAAAAGGCGAATTGATGAGGCATCCGTCGTACAACCCTGATTTGATACCCAATAATCAGTTTTATTCCCGCACATCAAAAATAAATTATGCTGTCAGCGTTTTCGACACCTAAAGAAGTGCTTGATGCTCCTGTTTTGGAGGTATCTCAATCGGAATAGAAAAAGTATTTCAAAAATTAATCCAAACACATGCAAAAATGTATTGATCTTCATAAAAATAATAAAACCATATACGATGATTAATTTCTTCTTTTTTTCTCTGTAGAAACACGTCATAAGTTTGTTTTTCTCGAATTTCAACATGAAAACTGGTTTTTTAAACCTTTTCTTTATAATTCTATTGCAGCGGCTTTCAATTTTTTACGACTTGTGGAAACCGGCCAACATTTCCAATTTTTTTTAATAACCCACACCTAAAAAAATTTTCGAACACATTTTTTACTGATTATATAATATATTTATAAATACTAGTTTTAAGCAAGAGTATAAATTTTTTTGAATCTTGTAATATCGATATTGTTAATTTCAAAATTTTGAACTTTTGACCGAGTCGTAGAACCCCCAGACAGGTTTTGTGGAACTCCAGGGTTCTGCGGAACACGGTTTGAATACCTTTGGTCTAGTATAACGTCAAATAACTGCACCCGCTAGTCGTAAGTGCCTACCCAATTGGCAGCTATGATGACAACAATGCAACTTGTTTTTTCATATCAGACGGAAATTTAACAATGAAGTACAAACATACTGATACAAATAAATTTATAAGGTTATACACAAATTCTACACAAAACACTGCAAATTTTATTTCGATTCCAGTAAAAAGTCAAGAAATTACACAGAGGTAATGAAATTACTTACCGTAAAACAGCAAAGATAATTATCTTTAGTTTTAATAAAACAAATTTACATACAATTAGTAACGTATGACTATCCCCATAATATTTAATAAGAAAATGTATATTTTTTTAAAACGCTGTCCAGTGATGGGGTGGACAAGAGTTTAAGTGTTGCTTAAGGGCTAATACTACCTTGTGTGTACAAAAGCAAAGGTCATTTTTGTAGTCTGTTTTTATGAAAATTGTAATATAATGTAATTGAATTTTGTGTACTTGTTAATATAAGTCGAATAAGAGTGCGCAGTAGAATGTACCTTGACCAAAAATAAAAAAAAATATAGTAAAAAATCTAACAAAGTATGAAGGATTTTATCGAAATATGGATTAAAACAAAATGTTTTTTTTTTCGATGCAAAAATCAGTAGCAAATCGTTAATAGAACTGGCGAGTCAATAAAAAAAATCCTCGTACTTCCCTAGAGAATGTTATTAAGCTAGAGTTAAAATTTCAGAACAATCGATAAAAAACTGTAAGCCCTAGAGGTACACCAAGCTCGAAAAAACATGCTTTTGAGAAAAACTAAAGTACTAAAAGGTCAAAACATTGTGTATTGTAGTTACCAACAAATTTTCTTGCATCAGCTGTTGCCTGGCTTGAAAATTCATGTAGTGGCTACTGGCCTAATTTCGAAAATTAATAAGTTTAAAAATAAAAATGAACATTGTCAACACTGCATCCAATCGCATCCAAATCAACTTCAAAACGACGCTTTAACTACAGTCACAAATTTTGGTTTTCGGTTAATTTTTTTTCTCGCAAATAATCTTTAGGATATCATTCTTAGGGAGCTTTTAGACCTATAAAATTTTTAATAGAGGTATATAATTACATACATATTATATTAGATTTCGAATAAAAAACTGCTAATACAATTTTTTAATTTTATATTTTTCAAAAATCGATATCAGAAAAAATTGTAGCCGGCTAGAATTTACAATTTTAAGGAAGTTAACCAAGACACTTTGTACAAAAAATACTCTCAGGATGATGATTGAAAAATATAAACATTTCAAATAAAAAAAAAATTAAACACGTTCGATGCTAAATACTCATTACTAGCAATAGTGTGTGTGTGTTTTTGAAATGGCACTGGTTCATCACCAAATAGCCAGTCTGGCTTCTACCAATTCTAAATGCTAAATAAATCAAACATTTTGTCAATTTTTTTTTTAGATGGCTTCACAACCGACAAAGTGCCCGTCTATAGGGAGGCTATGTACAGTTTGACGTTACCAGTAAAGAGAGACTATGTAAATATTTTGATAACTGCCTACAAAGATGTTTGCAGTTTCTTCGCCCAGATAATATGGAAACCCCGAAAACCGAAAAGTAACTCTCGTATGTAGACACGAAACTGACCGACTGTCCTCAAATATTAATGGTTTTCCCGCTTTTCAGATTACATAATAGACGAAGACCTGTACTCGTTACTTGCAGACATGAACCTGCCGAAAACTGTTCGATCGTTCGAGCCCTTTAAAATTGCCCCGGCCATCGGAGAAATCGTGATAGTGAAGCACTGGAGTAAGAAGTATTTGAGGGCGGTGGTTAGGGAAGAAATTATGGAGAACGACGGACGATTGAACTATCAGGTAACTTTAATCCTCGCTTCCTGAGGAATCGTTTCAATTTTACTGTTTGTAGATATTCACGTTGGATTTCGGGGAGTATATGAGCGTCCCTTTGGACTCCCTTCGAAAAATCAAGCCGCATTTCTTGGAGCTGCCGTTTCAGGTAAATTTGATATTTCAGAATACAAGTGTGGTCAGTTTTAACATGTTTTCTTTAATATTAAGGATGTCCTGACATCTCTTTATGCGCACATTTAAATATTATCGGCCATATTTCTTGTGTTTATTTTTCTGTCACCATTAATAATTTTGTAAATATTATTTTTTAATCTTTTTTAGGCCGTGCAATGTTACTTAAACAACTTGGTCGCAAGAAAAGATTGTGACCAGAAGAAAGCAAGTAATTACTTCCTAAAAAATTTGTACAATCGTAATTTCGCAGCCTGCACATTGTAAGTATTCTCATATCTGTAATTTCTTCCTTTTTAATGAGTTCCTTCCGCGCAGGTCTTCTTCTCTGCCTTTAAAAGTAGCCGTTACCACATTTGACGGGAGGGATATCGGCAAGATGCTGGTGAAAGAGGGTTTCGCCAGTTATACAGAGCGTGACATAAATCCCGCGGATGATTACTGTTTGGATCTGTTTTGACCTTTGTGGCGCAGTTTAGATCCACAAGGTTGTGTTTGTCTTTATCCGTATGTGCGTATTATTTTTAATTTTGAACTTATTTTTGTGTACGATTGATACGTTTTTTACGATATTATTAAGATTAATTAATACTATTGACAGCAATGGTAGATTTTGAATTAAAGACGAATCCATGTTTTTGTGATCTCTTCCTAGCTAAAAGCAAATAATTTGCAAAAAAGTCAACAAAACCATTTCTGTAGCATTTTATGCCTACTGAACAGATTTGGTACATAATGTGCAAGTTATTGTGTAAGGTTTAATAGGGTCAATGTTAGTTTTTAAACTTTTCTAAATTACAGTCTTTTAAGACACTTCCAAGTGCACTTTTTTGTAGTAAGTTGGAGTATCGTTTTATCCCTATTGTGAATAACGAATTAGAAAGAGAAATAAATATGCACACTGCAACTTACTACGTCTCTTAAAATCATTAGGCTTTTTTTCACGATTGAATATTGGTGAATGTCTGACTTGTAGTTACTATTTCTATCTTTTGATCTTAGTTGTCATATGGTAGTTTAAATCTCTATTCACTCATACTACACATACTCTAACATACGACTTCACTCACGAAAAAAGCCTATTATTTTATTTTTAGTTCATATTTTTTTTTATATCTTAAAAGTAGCTGTTCTCATAAACACAGTCATATTTAAGAAATATGTGCAAATAATAGTCGTGAATGTACAATTGAATTTGACAATATTTTCTAAGTACTAAAATCAATATTTGTTGTTGAATTAATTAAACAAAAGTCCATGTAGTCCAACCAAATTACACTTGGAGAAAAAAAAATTGTTACCTGGACTTTTATAAGTGGAAATGGTAAAAGGGTTTATAATAAACCTAAAAAAAAAATAAAGCGTGAGCTGGGGTGGCGGAGGGTTGATTTGAGGGGTTGAAAAGTTGTGAAAAATTGTATCATTGGGATTTCTGGTGAAAGTTGACATCAAACAAAAAAGTATCCAATGTAAAAGTTGCAAAAATGCAAAAATCTACAACTTTTGTAGAGGTCACTTTTTACGATAACTTCGAAAATTTCCGAGAAAAATGCGAAAAACAGGTTTTATTCTGATTTTTCGTTTTTTATTTCTCATTTCCGCAAAAATAACTTAATTTTGACTAAACTTGGTGAAAGTAGACCTTTCTGTGTCTTAAATAACCACAAACTTTTTTAGATAAATAAATCAAGAAGTTTCTGAGATGTTCATTTTTTCCGGTCTGAAACACTTTTTTTTCAAAGAAAAATTCTAGTTAGGAAAATCATCGTACAGGGTTTTGCCGGTGATAATTTTTTCGTTTTGACATCCTTTTTGGTGAAATAAAAAAGTCTGTAATTACAGTTCAAAAACATGCTCAAAAATGCAAAAAAATACAAAATTACTTGCAACAATGAATTTTTCAGTAATTGTTGATAATTTGTTTAAATTAAAAAAAAATCAAAAATTGATTACACCATCAGTTCTACGGGAAAAATACAAAAAAAACTGTGTCTCATTGTTTAACTGAAAAACTTTATTTTATTGCTATAAACATCTAAGTCGAATTACAAATACACAACTAATAAATTATCTCTGGATTATTTGAGATTACAGCAATATAAAGTATTAACTGCAGTCTACTGTTGACGCGAAACCTGAAAACCTGAACTTTTGCAAAATTGTTTTATTTTTTTCTGGCTTTATTTGAAAACAAATTTTAAAATAAATTGCATATTTTACATTGCCACTTTTTTCGCTCTATCCAATGGCGTCAACATTTTTGCAATCCGATGATTCGTCTTCGAGGGGCCATCATCAGGTTAATTTTGTTAAATACGTCACTGCTATTTTTATGCCAAAAATCTAGCCATTTTTAATTCTGAATTAGGTGATATTACTATTTTAATCGTAATTGTAAAAAGGTTTTTAGCCATCATTTAAAATTTCTCCTGAGTACGGCTGTGAAACAATTACTGAAAAATTCATTGTTGCGCCTTTTTTTTTTAAATTTTTTAATATGTTTTTGAACTGTGATTACAGATTTTTTTATTTCACCAAAAAGTATATGTCAAAACGAAAAAAATTATCACCGGCAGAACTCTGTACGATGATTTTTCTAAGTAGAATTTTTCTCTGAAAAAAAAAGTGTTTCAGACCGGAAAAAATGAACATCTCAGAAACTTCTTGATTTATTTATCTAAAAACGTTTGCGGTTATTTAAGATACAGAAAGGTATATTTTCACCAAGCTTTGTCAAAATTTAATTATTTAAAAACCTGTTTTTCGCATTTTTCTCGGAAATTTTGAGGTTATCTTAAAAAGTGACCTCTCCAGAAGTTGTAGATTTTTGCATGATCTGCAACTTTTGTATTGAATACTTTTTTGTTTGACGTAAACTTTCGCCAGAAATCCCAATGATACAATTTTTCACAACTTTTCAACCTCCCAAATCAACCCTCCGCCACCCCTGCTCACGCATTTATTTTTTTTTTCGTTTATTATAAGCTTCTTTACCATTTCCAGTTATAAAAGTCCAGGTAACAATTTTCTTTTTTTTTCCCTCTAAATGAGTTATTTCGATCAGTCTAATGATTTAATACGGGAAAATATTTTCGGGCACTTTATTTCTGTACAAAACGACACGTTTCTAAAACAAGCTATTTTGTTCGTTTTCAAAAATTATGAAATAACTAAACATCCACCAAGTTCTGTAAAACCTGTTCTACATTTACCAATATTTCACCCAATAAATTGTTAAAGTACAGTTTGTGTCAGTTTTTGGAAAAATTGTCACAATTTTCTATGTTTGTGATACCGTTCTACACTTAGAGCATATACTACATGGAGGATGCACCGCGTGGTAAGTGTAGACGCTGTAGAGAGACAGGACGGTAGTAGTGGGTCTCTCTCTCTCTCTCAATTTTATTTGAATATCACGAGAATAAACAAATGATCGCACAACATTTGAACGCTTGCTTTTACAGAGGTTAGGAGATAACTTTTCTGCTAGAGAGCGGAGGGAGTTGCGTTAGCCAATCACGTGCCTGCGCGAAGGGGAAAGATAGTACCCAAACTATCTCTGTCACTTATCTACACTGTCGCCATAAGCGTCTTCCTCCGTGTAGTATATGCTCTAAGTTTCTACTTGTTGCATTAAATCTTGACAACAAACCGCAAGCGATAATTGGAGCATCCCCTTTAAAAATTGAAAATTAAACAGGTGCCAAATTGTAGAATATTGCTAAAATTGGTACTATTGAATAAATATTAAAATTGTCTACAATTTCTTGGCCAACATATTGACGTTGGAATATTTACCAGAATTTATGAAGGCATAGTCTGTGTTCAGCAAACGGTCGGACTTTTCAAGTTAAACAAATCACCCAACGGGTTTTAAATGGTCGTTCAATTGTTCCCACTCATCAATTTCAATATTTGCTTTGTTCCTTTTGTTTTCAAGCCTGTATCTCTAAGTCTTGATATGCTTTTGTTTATTATTCTTTGTATCTTGTATTAAAATTATTGCATATTGTGCAGTCCGATCGTTCACGGAACACGGCCTACATGTACGAAAAATATAACTTGGGCCAATTTCTTGATCAATTTTGTAAAACTGTTAAACATAAAATAAAAATGAAGGTTGGCGTAACTAAGTTACATAGTGTGATATAGGTTTAACGTTACTGTATGACATTTTGATAATTGTTACAAATTTTGTGTCCATAAAGATATAAAGTTATATTTTATTATAAAATTAGAATATTTCATTTATTAAAAAATCGATATAATTTTCCAGTACTATATAACTTTAATTTATTTAATTAGTATTAGAATTCCATTGTTTTTTTTTTTTATTTTCAATATATATACGTTCACATGTATACTGTAGTGTATTGATCTTCATGGAGAATATTTTGAAAAATGATAAAGCCGTATACGATGATTAATTTCTTTTTTTTTTGTTCTCTGTTCCCTAAGTATAAAAGGCAACATTCGTATTAGGTTAATAACTACAATTCAGTTAGTAAATAAAGGCTAGCTGTGAATTTTTGAAAATGAATTAGAGATTTCGGCCAGGTATATCTTTTTTGCTTAATATTGATAAGAGAATAAATGCACTAATACAAAACGTCAATGGTGTGAAACGGGTAGCAAAAAAGTTAGGTCCAGTTTAATTCGAACATACCCTTATAGATGGCGCCCTGTACAAGCAGAGTCATTGACAATGACATATTTAAATTTAGCATACTAAAAAAACCCCATACCACAAGTTTATCCCAACATTCAAATCTGTTTGGAAATTATTCCTAAAAAATCGAATAAAATGAAAAACTAACACCCTGTATATCGAAAACTAAGCATTTGTGGGCTCACGTTTGTAGAAAAAAGTCTTATTTTGACTTCAAAAATATGCCCCTAAATACTTTATACTGAATTTTTAATCAGCCTGTTAGTGATGTCAGATCCGATTACTTTTATGTAATCGCGATTAGTAGGTACTTTCTCAATAAGTAATCGTTACTTTGTACTCGTTACTTATTACGATTACTGACCCCGATTTCGGGAGAGTATTTCCAATAAATAGAATAGATTATTTCGTTGGTATTTCCATCCGCCTGCAATTATTCTCATTAACTTCGTACTAATCGTAGCCTTGTTGCTCGCTGGTATTGCATAAGGCGACAGGACAGCTACTCGATTACTACGATTACTAGCAAGTAACGAATCATTACAATATTGACTTCACTACAGTCTGTATACTATTATATTTTGGAAATGGATAATCCTGGTACTGCCATCTGACAACCCACATCCTTATCATAAAATTCGATTTTTGTTGGTATACTTAAACCGTTCTTAATGTAGAACTGTTTGTATTGTTTATAGTGACTTGAAAAATTCATATCGGCCAAAAAATAGAATTGAGTCGTTAACATTTGGCCGCCAAAAAAATTTGATTGCGTTGGATCCCGTATAATTTGACAAATGCTCAAAAAAAGGCTCGTGTTGATGCGAAAAAAAATGTGAAACGTGTATCCAGAGACATTTTTGGCTTTCAGATATTATTAGAAATGAAAATTTTTCTATTGCGCATAAAAAAAACGTGGGCTCAACTTTTGGCGGCACAATATGTTAAAATAATTCGAAGTATGTCATATTTTTCTGCCTAATTAATTATGTATCTTTTCAAGAGTTGATTTTAGGCGAAAATGGAAAGGAAAAAAATGTTTGTAATTAATTTTTTACAAAATATGACTAGTTACAAATTGAATGAATCATGATTATTGTAAAAATCAAAAAAATCGCCAAAAATGGGGTTAAAAACATTACTTCTTAGGGGATTTTTTTGGGGTCTTTAAATTGGATATAGGACCTTCGAACTTGGCTCAAGAAAACTTCATGTTATGTAGAATCATCACACCAAATTTCATCTAAATCCATTCGATAGATTTTGCATAATAATTTTGCAATTCAGATTTTGAAAAAAATTGCAAATTTTCAAAATTTTGCACAGCAAAAACTAAGGCCCTTACATATTTGAAAATTTAATTACATATGGAAGGGCTCTCAAGCTTTCAAACGCTTGAAAAATTCGAGTCTGTCAATTAGGAGAGCTTTGGCGCTTGTTTAAACATTGGTCAAATTTTTTAAAGCAGGTTTTAAAAGTTATTGGAAAGACGCTTCTTTTAAAAAAAAACGGATTGATTTGTCAATTAGTTACGTAGTTATACTGGGACATCCGGGCTAATTTTTCGAAAAAAATACCTTTGGTATTCCGAGTACTTAGCAGGTGTAAGTTTGCAATACTTTTCTTCATTGGCAACCTACTTTAAAACATGTTTAAAGTTATGCAAGCGAGAAAATCAAGAAAATCATACGGGTGGTGGTGGTGGAGGAAGCAGAGAGAGTGGCCGCTTCGGCCTGCTCGAAATTGAATCGGTGAGTTCAAAACCGCGACGTGCTTAAAAATTTTTAATATGTCAGCTTGTAAAAGTAAGATTTTGATGGTTTTTTTAAAATCGATATCTCGCCATTTAAAAAAAACAAGTAGCGTATTTATAGATTCTTTTTTTGGGATTAAAGTATAATTCAATTATTTTTTATTGTTTAAAATATAAGCAAATGAGAAATCAACTCATTATATTAGTAATTTTTGACATATTTTGAAAATAATTGTTTAAACAATTTTAGAATATTTAAATATATTTGTTTTTGATCTTTGATAAACAGTATATAAGTTTATGCACTTACCTTTGATACAATAAAAAAATAAAGTTGATAATTAAAGGAAGTTTAAAGATAAATAATTATCGGACTGTTGAAAGACCAATAATTATTAACGATAGGCATTTGAAAATATGGACTTTTTGAAACGTACCGTCTGGACTAAGGTGACAATCGTGAGCCCAAAAGTAAATGACAGTTGACTATATGGCTTAAAATCCAACAAAAGCTGTTTGTGACGAAGCACTTCAATTCTGTATGCTACACAATTTGTTGGCCAGAAGTCTTCGGAAAAATAAGGGAAACCAACCGCCAAAAACATATTATTCGCCACCAGAACAATGTGAGCTCTGACACATTGGCTAAAACAGGACTTGTTTGAGAATTGAAAGCCCAATTGACGAGTCATCCGCCATACAGTCCTGATTTGGCACCCAATGACTTTTTTCCCATACATCAAAAGTAAACTACGAGTAAAAATTTGTTGATGCCTGAAGAAGTGGACGATGCATTCAAAATGCATGTTTTGGAGGTATCTCAATCGGAATGGAAAAAGTGCTTCGAAAATTGGTTCAAGCGCATGCCAAAGTGATTTTCTGAGATTAGTTGTAAAATCACTAGGATTTTTTTTATTATTAAAAATTACATATATTAATTTGCACAAAAAATATACTAAAAGTATTTTTGTGCATCTGCTCGGATTTTTTTAAATTAAGTAGAAAATTCACATCTTGGATGGGAAAAAAAAGCGAAGAGATAATTTTACATTTTATTGAATATATAAAATTGATAGCAACATTTTTTGGTTACTTATAATAATAAAAGGAAAAGAAAACAGAACTTAATAACAAAATCAAGCTAAATATAATTTCATTAAGACTTCGTTACGACACGTAACGAATATAAACTCTTTTTATTTACATCTGAACTTGTCGAAAAAGCTACAGCAATATTTATCCTCGTCTGTTTCATGATCGTTACCGGAAAAGATGGCTGTGAAGGCATATACAATTATTATTATCTCTTACGAATGGGTTCGGTAAACAGTTAAAAGAGCCTGAAGGTATTTTTTTAAACGGCGGGAGGTGGGGAACACAGGCTGTCACATTTATTCAATTAACGAGATAATTACATTAGCACCACTTTAATTCCATACATTATTTTACAGATGTACAGGTTTTTTTAAAAAAACTAATTACCGGTCGCTAACTAAAACCCTTAATCGATCAATCCAGCCCCCAGTATTTCCGTTCTCTAAAATTTCTCACCTTCGTACCTAATATTTGCCCAAACTCAAAGCAGAATTCCACCCGACCTCACTTTATCGATGTAACAGAGTGTGGGAATCGACTGCACTAGCATTTGTTTTAACCTGAAAACGTCGATGGAGTGAGGTTAGGTTTGGACATCAGAAGTGGGCCAGCCAACAACCCGACGCGAAAAATAGGCCGATTCCAACGGTATTTGAGCAACAAACGTAAAATTACACGTATAAAAATTGTAACCTATGAAAAACTAAACGTAATAAATATTAAGTTTTAATATCCTAAAGGCAAAATACCTTCATCTCTTCGCAGCCCGTCGATTCAATATCATTGCTGATCCATTAAGGGAAAAGAACGGCCTAACGTGTGACGATATGATGCGCGAAACACCACACAACATCGATTTCGAGGGGGAAGCGTGAACTTAACCCGATGAAACAAAGAGGGCGCTGCACCACGCGACTAAATCCAGAGTCAGCTTGTTGTGTAGGAAAGTTATGTAATGTACATAAAATGAAATAAACCATAACACCATATAAATAATATAATTAGCAGCAATTAAATGTCTATAAATACGACCGCGATGATCCACACTCTGAGCGCATCGCATCGTTTCGGTGAGATGTTTGAGCAGCACCATGCCCGGTCCAGAGCGGCGGTTGCCGGACGACCGATCTGCGTAACGCTGGCGTGTAAAAAGAAAAGAACATTGTGTGGCGTTCACCTTGTTTTTAGATTCAATTTTAAGAATGTCCTTTATCCGTCAGTTCGTGTTTTGTATTTAGATAAAATATCAATTGTTAAGGTCTACGACAGTCTATGGCGACCTGGGCCGTCTTATTCCACCAGCTTGAGGACCTTTCCGATGGCAATTGTCCTATCTGTAAGAGAGAAATCGTCAGAATCGAGGTAAATCTTTGGAGTGTATTTAAATGGTAATAAAGGTTCCGCTACTCACTCTCATCTCTGAGGGTAAACCGACCCATCTGAGGCATGAACTTGAAGGGCTCCAGGCAGATGACGCCCGCACACTCTATTCTCATAATAGCTACTTGGTCCTGCTTCACGAACCTAGGGCGAGTCTTGCTTTTCTCTCCCGTCTTTTTGTCGACGAGGCATATTAAGGCCTGTAACAATACAAATAGGATTAGACGTTCAACCGTGTTTAATTATAAAAAACAAAATTTAAATTACAGTAGCTAAAATACAGCATGTTTGGAAAGTACAAGTACAGCAAATAGAAGAATAGATATAAACGACAATTCTTAATCAATTTGAGTCAGCTTGCATTAATTCAAGTTACACAGAGAGAAATATATGATTGATTTTGTCCTAGAATCGCAAGTTAGTAATTTTAAGGCAGAGTTCTTATAGATAACAAGCATCACGAGCAAACTGCTTAATGCTACAAAAAAAATTAAAAATCACGAATCAAAAAGGAACTCAAGAAGTGGTACCTAATGGTAAATTGAGGAACTACACTTTTGAAGAATTTGCAAAATTTGATCTGGACTTGAGACGGTCTGAAGGGAGAAAATTTTAAGTCGTCGATGCAGTGCTATTGATCGGAAGATCTTTAGTGCACGGCATTTAATGTTTTTTTTTTGCAGTAAGTTAGTGTATAAAATAATTTTTCATATTTATTTGACATGGTGGCAGCGGTATAACTACCAGAAAAAGTATTTAAGCTGTAGGTACACCATAAAAGGGTCCGTAGAGTAATATGTATTGTAGTTTTTTTGCTGAGCAACATATGTACTAATTACTACAAGAAGCTTGCTTGAAGGATAAGAAGAGGAACGGTAAAAGAATCGCAACCGAACTAATGTCATACATGAACAAAAATTTTAGGAGGTTATTTTATTCACAAAAATGAATTATAGGTATAAGTTCCTTATCATTTTTTCAAAAATTCAAATCGGAGTTACACAATTTCATAATACGTGTACTTTTATAAAATTAATATTCAACCATAACATCTTTCTCCTTCGGGTCCATAAATGTTTTACTAACTTATTGTTCATAAAAAATTATCACTTTTTAGATATGATTTTATACCCACAAATACTTTACGGACTCAATTACTTCACAGCCACTATTAAACAGAGAACGCATTCGGCGGTCGCGGTCTTTTACAAAATCAGTCGCATTTGGCAATCATGCACAATCCTGTTCACGCCCTTCTTCGAATAGTTGAGGTATTGTTTTAGTAATTAAAATATGAGTTATATGGAAGAGGAAGCTCATCTCAATGGTATCGCGGTCACCCGTGAATGTTTGGAAAAGATCGGTGGAGAACGCGAAGCGAGCACGACGAGCTCGGGAGCGTCTAGTGCGAATTCATACATTATAAAACATGGGAAGGAACTCCACCGCGCGCGATCGAGACTTGCACTGACCACGACTGCCTAATACGTTCTCTGCTTTACTGTACAGAACAAATCAGCGGTTTGGTTACAACGTCCGATCGCTGTGTACTTCGCCAGCCTGTGCAGCACGTTCCCAATTACGAAGTGGAGCGCTGAGTTAACGGAAGTTACGGGATAATTTGCTTATTTTTTAAAAGGACGAGATTTTTTTTTTTCCATTTTCTGTCTTTATTAGGCCTTCCCAATATGTGGTGAAAATTAATGCCATTATGACTGAATCACCTTGTATAAAACATGAACTAATGAATTTTAGAAATACTTGAAATGTATGAAATTTTCATAAATAAAATTAATTAGTTTTTTTTGTGGTTTTTCCAAAATATTTAAAAATGTTATATTATTAAACGTTACAAAAATTTTCTAAAACCATCTTATTCCAAACAACAACGTTTAACATTTGTGAGGAAAAATGCATTTAATGCATTGCTACGATATTTTGTGACATATTCCGTACAAATTTTGGTATATTACTTATATTCCACAATTTTTCCGTATTAATAATATTAATGCTTACAATACAGGGTGATTCAGGTTTAATCTGAATAACTTTAGGAATCGATAAAACAGGTTAAAATAATGTTCATGAACTTATTTCCTATTTTTAATAACTTTTGCACTTAATAATTTTAACGACGATTTTCACAAACGTTCAGTTTATACAAATCACTGCGAGTTTTATTTTTCATGGGTTGCTATAACGTTAAATGAAATTTACGCGGCTGCGACGCTACACTGTTACAAATTTCATTGGATATCTCAGACAAGGCCAAAGATCGAAAAAAAAACAAGACAAAAAAGTTTCAAAATTAATGAGGCAAAGGTGGTGTGCAGCTGCTTTATTGAAAATAATTTTTTTTAAAGTTTTGAAATAATGTAAGAGCACACAAAATACACTTTTAAGAGGGGTAGGTGGTTCAAACTTGAGAAGCTCATGTAAGATCATAGGGAATGTTTGTGTTCCGAATTTCACTTCAATTGGGTGAGTGGTTCAAAAGTTATGACGGAAAAACGAGAAAAAAATTCCTATTTCAACGCCCTCTGTCTCCGAAATGGTGCAATTTAGGAAATAAGTTTATATTATTTTAACCTGTTCTATCGATTCCTGAAGTTATCCAAATTAAACCTGAACCACCCTGTATAAATCATAATTTTCAATGTTCATGTTTAAATTTTCCATCGTTTATACCGCAAAATTAATAAATTCTTACCATTTTTAAGAGCAACCAAAAATATTAAGGTTTTTTTGTTTCTCCTTAGCAATGGGCTATTTTATCTACTCGGAACAAGAGAATCCAAATTTTTTTAAAAACTTTAAATAAAAAAGTTACAATCAATTTTCTAGTTAAAAAGCACCAATCCAGTCTTTAGAATTTTAATGTTATATTTTCCAATCAGGATTTTGTACCTTTTTTTTAAAGGAGGACTCATTTATGGCAAAGCTTTTGCAAAGTCACCACTGATGATGCCAATATGAGAAATGGCAAAACATTTGAAAGTGTTGAATGCAACCAGTTAAATAGGCGGAATATCTCGGAGGACTACCATTGTTTGAGGAGCGGTCTCATCCGTAGTGGTTTTAGAACCCCCGACAAGAACTGAAATATACATAAGGGCAGATCTAGGAGCTCTGATAGCAAGCATGCCCCTACAGAGCTTAGCCCGAGAACAATAATCAGATTCAAGCAGATCAAAGGCTAAGAAAGTGAATTAAGTGACGGCATATTAATCCGAAAAACCATTGTATTTTAAAAATCAGCTGGAGTCATGAAAGCCCATATAATATATCAAGGTAGCACTTACTTTAACGGTGACCTCCTCGGCAGCGCAATGAATATGCATAACAGCACTATAACCTGCGCAGATGATGGACTTGTGCTCCAGGATGACGAGCTGCGCGTCAAACACGCGACCTGTATGGATGGGGTTGACGGAGTCGCACAGCACAAACCCGGGGCTCACATCCTCTTCTTCGACACCCTTTACCTTAATCTTGACGTTCTCGCCCGGCACCACCCTACCAACTTCATCGTCGTCCGATAGCAGCATATCCACCGTCACGGGCGTCTGGACGAAATTACGTTATAAATAAATCGTTGAAAAGGCTCTGGTGGATCTCGAATATCAATTATCTTAAAAAATACGCACCCTATTGGGCATGATGAGCATGGTCTGGCCCTTCTTGCACTCTCCGGACTCCACCTTGCCCATCAGCACTGTGCCCATATCCTTGTACTTGTCCACGATGGGCATGATGAAAGGCCCGTCCAGCTTCCTGTTGAGGGACGGCAGGTTGTCGATGAAGGGGATGAAGGCTTCGCCCTTGTACCACGAGCAAATCTTCTCGTCCACCTTATCTTTTAGGCCCTGGCCGGTCTGGCCCGAGCATGGCAGGAAGAACAGATCCTTGTTGTAGTTGAAGCCCAGCTTCTTGAGATATGGCAGGATCTTGTCCTTGCACTCGTTGTACCTGGAAGAGTAGTGGTTATAATTGAATACCTCTGGCAAGAATACCCAGCTAAAATTAATCAAAAATTGATTTAAGGTGTTCAAAGACACACTGACAGAATTCTGTATATAAATGAACGACTAACAATAAAGTAGTTCAAATGTATCTTTTCCGTGAACTGATTTTATCATTTATATTTTAACAACCGGGGTCCATTTTTGTTGAAAATTATGCACAATTAACAAGGGGTTGTAAACATTAAACAAGGAAGTATGACAAAATAAAATATGCAATATAAAGACACAATTATGTGTTTCTTTTGCAATTAATAAAACATATTTTATTTGAAGATGGATGCATGTCCAAAACGTACACATTACAAAAAAAAACAATTACTTTTGACTGATGTTCCACGAAAGGAAAAAAATATATATTCTCAACAATCTGCAAATAAAGCTAAGACGATTGAACTACTCCATCAGATTTTCAACATCCTGCTTAAAAAAATTTGTAAATATAGTTCAAAATATTGATAAAATAATGTCAAATTTCATCAAATTCTAATCAATTTGTCCCACTCAAGAAAATTCATGAGAAATGTCTGAAAATCAGCCTCCTAATGTGGTTTCCCCCCTTAATTGTTGCCTTAAATTTAACAAGTTTAAAATTCAATGGTAAAATACAGAATTGCCCCTGTATGAAATAAAAACAATGTTATAAAAACAGAAAACATGCGAGAGTTACAAACACTTACCGTGCCTCATCCCAATTTACCGTGGGATCGTCCATCTTGTTGACCAGCACCACCAGATATTTGACCCCAGCCGTCTTGGCCAGCATGGCGTGTTCCCTGGTCTGTCCGCCCCTGTCGAATCCCGTTTCGAACTCGCCTTTCCTCGCTGAGATCACCAAGACAGCCAGATCGGCTTGGGCAGCACCCCCTATCATGTTGGGTACGAAACTTTTGTGACCGGGCGCATCCAGGATGGTGAAGTGCTTCTTGTCAGTTTCGAAGAAGGCACGGCCCACCTCCACCGTCTTACCCTTATCTCTTTCTGTTATGAAACAAGGAAAAAAAAGAAATGTTATTTGGAAAATGTTTTTTTCTCGATTAGTCATCTTTTTATAAAGATTTTACAAGAAGTTTTTTTTAGCTTAAAATCACTCAAAGATTCATCTCTTAAAGTTTACCGATATTATTAACTATATTCGCTGCCTACCAAAAATTTTGTTACATTTATTTGATTTAATGTAATTTTTTTTAATATATCAAATATTATTGTTTTATTATTTTAAATTTCCAGTACTATAATTTATACAAGGATGGCTGTATTGAAGACATTTCATAATCTCCTTATGAAACGTCTCCACTATAACCATTCTTGTCTATCACATGGATTTCTATACTTTGTTCCTCTCATGTAAAGGTAGATGGACCATGTGGATTTCCAGCCGTGCATAGAAAATGTCATAATATACCTATAGAGCAAATTAATGAAATAGCACAAATTGACTTTCAAACAGCCATTTTTGGGCAAACAAGAACATTGACACTTGGTTAATATGAGAATTGTATTACGCAAGTAGTAGATTCACTAGGAAATGTTTTTTGTGAAACGAGTATCCTTTTAATAAAGTAAAAGTCCAGACTGGTAACACAAAATATTTATGTAGCTCTTACTAGCGACCAACTGAAGAATATGTCTTAAATTGGTGGATTGAAGAGCGATAGTAATACTCGTAATTCTAAGTTAACTACAAACAGGGTCGGAAAGTACCGATGGTCCATTTGCCGTATCGTGAGAGCGATAAAGTAAGTCAGAAATCCGTGCGATAGAGAAAGATGGCTATAACGAAGGCGTCTAATAGTCAGCGCCCATTTCGCCCTTCCACAAATAAGAAGTGGATCTTATTTGTGGAAGGGCGAAACGGGCGGTGACTATGAGACGCCTTCATTATAGCCATCCTTCTCTGTCACATGGATTTCTTTATCGCTCTCACGTAACGGCAGATGGACCATCGGTACTTTCCGAACCTGTATAAAAAATGCCTATTTAGGACATTTCCCAATTTCCTAATTTTTCGTAAAAAAATATTTTCTATTATTGAACTTTAGTTTTAAAGTATTATAACATGGACTACTTACTGCCAAGAGAGGAATTTTTATTTTTTTTTTTTGAGAAAAGTAATTTTTGATAAAAATTCTCGATAGTATTCAGAAAATATGAAATATTTGATGGACAAAGTGGCTTTATTTCTAATAAAAAAAATTGTTTGTAACTAAAAAATGGAAACAAATATTTTAAAAAGTGTAGCTATATTAATAAGTTTATATTTAATAATTAGAAACAAAACTAAACAATCAATCAAACGTCATCCCACCAAGACGTACAGTTTTTTCAAATCCTCTGAACAATTTTGTATTTAATCTAATAAAATGTTGGCAGCATCTCTATTTCCAGTTTTGTGTTTCAATAATTCCACATTATTTTCAAAACAGTTTTTTTTGTTTAAAATATTTGTTAATAAAAATAAAATTTATTAAAAATAAAACAAAATTTGTATCCATCTTTTTTAGTTGTAAACAATTTTTTTAATGTTTTTTTTTTTTTGTAGAATTTTGTAAAATACTTAGAATACCTTGTAAATCAAAATTTTTCTATGATAGGATTTATATGGAAAGTAAATTTTATATAAATGACCTCAAAAACAAAAAAAATTATAGTCGATAAATAGCATAATAACTTTTTTGTTCATGTTTGATTAGAATTCCTCAAACAAATATTAAAGTGGGGGAATCTTAACGTAAGCTGTAATAAGTATGTATAACTCGAAAACCTAAAATAGATTATGCATTAACCTTTAGAGTTGTGAGAAAAATAATTCTAATAAGCAAACTTTCATAAACTACATAATCTTTTATGTATTACATACATAATTCTTTTCACGATTCAATCAAAATTAAGAAAAAATTAATACTAAACATCCAATCCAAATAATTTGACAAAATGGGAAGCGACCCCATTTAGATCATAATTAGAACTGACAAAAAAAACAAAATTTTGCAGACATACCTTCTTGATTGGTGTCCAGGGCCCAACTGAGATACCAACTCTCCCTACTCTTCTCCCTCGCCTCCCTCTCATATTTTTCCAGTGTCCTCTTGTCCACCATGCCCGTCAACGCCATGATCTGGCCTCCGATGGTACTCTTACCCGCATCGACGTGCCCTATGAATACGACATTGACGTGTTCCTTCTTGTCTTCCACCACCTTCTCTTTCACCTGTTGCTTCTTCTTTATCTTAATGGGGGCCTCCTCAGATGAAGGTTCTTCATCATCATCTCCTTCCGGGGTGGTGGCTGGAGGGGCAGAGGCCGATGTGCTGTCATCATCGGCCGCGTCTTCCCAAGTACCCCCCTCCCCACCGGGGGATGCATCTCCGTCAGCAGGCGGGATGGGCGGAGGTTCTTTCACTTCCACCTGCTCGGCGGACGTTTCCGTGTTGGTACCTACAGTAGGTATTAATAGAATAGAAAGCGAAAAGTTTAATTCGTTTAAAAACAAATACGACAAAATTGAAATAGTTTTTAATTTAATTGTTGCTTATTTAGTATTAATTATACCGCTTAATAGTAGCATCCGTATAATTTTCAGAGAATACGTTTTATTAGCACAAACTTAAAATTTGTCATTGTCAATTTATGTTGTCATCACAATGCTATACTTTATGCTTTGTGGTCACCTTTATTCATTTTTCTATTTTTGTTAATAATCTGAAATATAATTGAAAACATAAAATACAATTTTATAACCCATTAACAATTGATTAAAATTGATGATCTGAACACACAAAAAACTGGGAAATCTTTACACAAGTTAAAAAGTGAAGGTAATATTATTTTGAAAGGATTTTTTTCTTTAGAATAATATCTACATTAGTATTACTCACCATATGGCATAATTTAAATAGAAGTATTTGGAAACAGGAAGTTTGACAAGTAATTACTGACAAAATATGTTACTTTGACAAACTGAAAAAGGATATCAATGTGCTACAACTTACTACCATAATCCAGAAAAAACTGGTTTATTGGTAAATGATTTACTTGTCATAAAAGTTTCACATTTATCTTAAGGCCTGACTTAACTTACTGAATACGTCAAGTTTTATAAAAAACATTACACATTGTTTCAAAATGATCGGATTGTATAGGGGTGCGAAATAAAAAAAAAAATCTTTGTTTACAAAGAGCTTGGGAAAACCATCAATGTGGACAAAATTTGAGCAAGACGCTCGTGTCTCCTTCTTTTGCAGAATGATTTACTAGTTATGCAGCAGGATAATTTCGCCTTAGTAAAAAAAAACGTTATAAAACGGAGGGTGTATAACCTAAATTAGAAGCAAACGTCAATTTCATCTACACTTGATACTTACCGTTTAAAATGGGATTGTGTTGGGGAGAATTACTAGATCCTTGGGAGTTTGTTGGAGACGGTTTCTCGACTACTTCGGGCGCTTTTCCAAATGAGAATGAAGGCACAAATTCGACAGCATTCACATTCAACGTGGAAAATGGAGCTGTCACATCTGCATTATGTTGTGGTGAATTATTGGTCGATGTAGAATCGGCTTGAGATTCCCAACTGTCCGGTGCTGTGTTGTTTGACATTTTGTGCACTTACGTTTACTTAATTCCTTATAAACACCTTAAAAATCAAAATTAACACTCGATAGCAACTCGTCTTCGTCCGCGTGCGTTCTCTCGACTTGCCACCGGAACACAATGGCCGAATGTCGAATGTCATTACAAACGACTGTTACCGACCGAGTATTTTTCGAATTCCATAAATAAACCGGAAGTTTCACAGCGCGAAATTTGAACTTCAAAGATCATTTTATTTGTTTTTTTTATACTGTTTAAAACTGTACGAACTAAAAAACTGTTTTTTAAAAAATGTTTATTTTAATAAAAGTACAGCTATCGTATAACTTCATTCTGTTTCCGTTTATCATTTCTATTGATAGAAGCCTCCCTTTGCTTCTCAATTTTCAGTTGTCTCTTCACAGCCTTATGCTCTAGTTCTTCGTAATGCTCTGCGAACATCAGTCTTAAGGCAGGGTACAAATGTGGCACCAGAGGCAATTCATCTATCCTAACCTATAAAAAAATCAATTAGACTTAGATCTGGACAGTGCGGTTCACATCCCACTAACCTGCATGTTATCAAAGGCAATGCCAACATTCTCAGCGAAATTGTCATTGAATCTCGGCAATTTCGCATACCTTTGACTGAAATGGGTCAGGAGGATATGCTTGGCATTCATTCTTTTGCCGATATCTATCGCCTGAGATGTGGTGGAGTGCATTTTTATGACAGCTTCATGGGCTAGTTCGTCTTCCATCGTCGCTTCGTGAATCAAAACGTCACTATTAGTACCTGCAAATAACTGATTATGTCACAGTTTCATGTTTTTTGGTGTTTTTCACAAACCGAGTTCTACCAAATTATCCGACGGCATGGTATCACCAGAGTAAGTAATCTTGCGCCCGTTCTTGTCTGTAAATGCTACTCCAAAAGCATTGGGACAATGCCTAACGAAACAAGTACTTATACGCGACATCCCCAGTTTTTCCAAAACAATTTCTTTTGTAGATTCGGACAGTGTTTGGTTGTTAAATATCTACAAAATAAAATAATTATTTACGTGTAAATATAAAAAGTAATCAATAATTTCATTACCAAGTCACCGTTTGGCACGAGATGGAATTCTTTTCTGATATTTTCAAAGCATTTATCGTAAAAATTTAACCAGGCCAGTATTTGTTTAGGTGCAAACAAATACACTTGTTCTTTCTTCATTTTTAGATTATCCAAGGCCCTCCTTCTACCTTGCAGAAGCCCTATAAGCCCGATGTGGTGATCGGCATGCAGATGTGAAATGTAGATGGCGCTTATGTTAGCCAAGACACGATCTGCTTCTTCGTGACCAAAGAACCTTATAATTTGCCCGCACGTGCCTTCCCCGCAGTCTAGAAGCATATTCTGGCTTTCGCTAAAATAAAAAAATACTAATATCGCTTAAAATTTCATATTGAAAAAAACCTACTTTAATTTTAGTAAAATCCCACTTGTATTCCTTGTTTTGTTTGGTATACAAGAACCGGTACCTAAAAACAATTTAATTTGACGATTTAAATTTCAAAATCTACTAAATGAGGGTTACCTAAGAATAATATTTGTGGATATTGACTAATGTCCAAATTTTTCCTGTCTCGTTTCAAATTGTTGCACAATTCCTGCAAAGTACTGGAAAAATTCTCCACTTCCATTGTCTCTTTCAGATATTCCGCAGGATTTACTTTCAGTTCAGCAAGTCTACAATTATGACACAAACTACAGGGTGTCCCACTTTGAAAAACCAAGTGAACTAATTTATATAAAAATCTATACAATTTGATTTTCACCGGATCATGTTTATATGGAGTCTACTTTTAGAACCATATTGATTTAAAAACACGTCACAAAGCCATACAGAAGAAATATGTTTTTGCAAAATTTATTTTCCGTTGAATTTCCGCTATGCCTCATTATTTTTATACATACAACCGAGTTCGGATGCCCATTTAAAGTTACACACTGTATATAATAATTTAAAAACAATCATTTCTGATATATTTTAATTGGTTTAATTATTTGAAAATTGGTACCTAAAAAAATCACAAGAAGTTATAGTATTGAAATATGTGTGCTAAGTTTCTTAAAAAAATACGTTTGAAATGTTTGTTTCTTATGAATTATGTTGATGGCTTGTACAGCTATAAATCCGGACACCCTGTACATATAATATTTAGCGACTTTTACTTAGTTATATCCAAACGCTAGAATAAAAGAATTAATACAATTTTTACCTGTCTAAACCTAATTTTGGCCTTAAATGAAAGCTACAAAAAGTTTTGGGAAAAATATATGGCTCCGTAGGACTGGCTGGTCTAGATTTCACAGACAAATTTTCCAATTTTAGGTCATTTTGAAGCGAACTGGGAGACGTCAAATCCTTCTCTTCACATTTCTGTTTTTTATTTAAGTGGATCCCTGGATTCTAAAAAAAATCAAATAGAAAAAGTGTTACTTATGTGAATCAGGAAAATTTACGTCATTAACGATTTCCATTCCCTTTTCACTTAATAAAGGAAAAAAGTCCTCTGAAAGCATGTTCAATTTGTATTGTATCCTATGAACCGCTTGACTACCCATGCAAGAGTTTGTTTCATTCAGAATCATGTGTTGTGTACTCGCTGAAAAATTCTCCATCCATTTTTTATACCTATAAAAGCCATAAACAAAATTACATATTTCCTATTCAAATACTGTAGAGTTTGGTTATTATGAGTCCACTTTTAGTGACTGGCCATATTTTGTGCCATACTTTCACTCATAAATTTGGTTTCTCCTCTTTTATAACAACTCAACTTCAACAACCTAATTTCGAATTGCGTGATGTGATTTTTTTATAGTTGTCACGGAAACACACGTTGAACAGCGTAGAGCAATCAAGTTCTGTTCTAAAGCTGATAAAACAGCCACGGAAACATATCAACTGTTACAAACGGCGTATGGTAAGAACTGTGTATCACGTATGACTGTGTTCCTGTGATTCGAGAGGTTTCCTGATGGTCGAAACAGCATGCATGACGACGAGAGGATGGGGCATCCACACACCAGACGAATGAATGAAGACATCGAAGCTGTGAGCTCTGCACTGAAGTCTGATCGTTGATCAACCATCAGAATATTCGCAGACGATCGTGTATGATTGATCGATGATCAGACAGCGCAGAGTGCACAGCTTTAATGTCCTCTCGTCGTCATGCATGCTGTCTCGGCCATCCTCCTCCCAAGCCAAACGAACGCAGTCAGATGTGATACACACTCCTCACCGTACACCATCTGTAACAGTTTCCGTGGTCGTTTTACTGGCTTTAAAACAGAACTCGATTACTGTACACTGTTCAAGGTGCGTTTCCATGATAACTATCAAAACTTTATGCACGCAAAAGTTATAACTTTGATGAAATTTTGTTTGGTCACTCGGAAACTGTGTTTAGTCTACAATAAAGATGTGGGACATTTTTTCAAAAACTTTAACACTTCCTGTACCTTTTTTTTAAATAGTCCTGCATATATTTTAATTTCGATTGTTAGCTTACGTTTAGTATGATGCAATTTCGCTATTGCTTCAACGTCGTCATAAACGAACTCCACGTGTTTACTTACCTTGGATGTTGCACCACATCTGCTGGAGTAAAATGCACCACCAAAGTCGCTATGTCACAATCTTCTGTTGCAAAAATTTGGTGCCTTTTCAATTCTTCACTGTTCGTCAAGGAATCTAAATATTCTTCAGAAGGACAGTCAACAACTGAAAGTGCGGTAAAATTATTTTTCTATACGAACTGCTAGAATTAGTGCTACACGAACCAATAAAGACAGGACCAGCGTCGTCAGGTTCACACACATCTTTGGAAGTGACGACATTGCCGTTTGGTAAAACAACATCCTCACCACCTTTAAGTTTGCCCAACAGAGGTCCTGGCGGAACGCCCATTCGGACACATTTGTCCAAATTCAAGGCACCCGGTCTGGGTTGTAGTCGACAAATATAAGTCATGGAGATACCTTTTTCTTTCGTGTCTTGTAGGATCTGCTGAGAAGTTATCGAAACGAGATTGGGGGTTATCCTCCTACCACTATCTAGAATAAAAATAGGCATCAATACATAAAGTGTTACTAGTGTAGCGGGGGTCAGTTTTTTAAGGGTAATAGTTTGTGTTTCCCAGAATACTAATCTGAAAATCTCAAAGTTGCACTCTGTATAATATTTGGTTTATATTTTATGTTTTTTAGGTGAGATTAAGGGATACCAGTTGTTTTGGATCGGGATCTGGATCGGGAACGATTTCTATTTCTATGTCTACTCTTACGTTCGTGGGCGTAATAATCTACATTATCTTCAACGATTTCTTCTGAAGTGCTAGAACTCGAAGCCGATCTCCTTCGTAATTTCTTTTCGTTTCTAGTGGATGTAGATGCCTCTGACTGCAAAAATATATAATTAAAAACACGTTTAACAATGATAATCAATTTTTATACCTGAACTACTGTTGCGTTAACTTCGGCATTCTTGAAATCGTCACCATTTTCACTGGTTTTTGCAGATTGATTATCATCAACGACTAAATTAGATGTCCTTGTTAAAGGCACATATCTTACACTAATCACGTTGTCTTCAAAAACGTTATTTTCACTACAATCAGCCATATGAATTTTTAAATCTCTAATAACAACAAATCTTTTTGTCGCCGCAAAAACTTCATCCTATAATAGCAAAATGTTACAAAATGTTACACATACATTTTGAAATATTACCAAGCCTGGAGGCCCATGCAGAGTAATCTCAGGAACTCCTACATCCTGAATTGTGAGTGCAGTACCGGGAAGACCACCAATATTCTTCCAAACTGGTTGTGTTATGAATATATGTTCCAGTTTCGCTAGTTTCATTTTATGTTCATGAGCTAATCTTTGTGTTCCTTCTCCGCAATTAAATAAATACCTAAAAGCTACCTGTGATAAATTTAAATAATGTACTCATTGGGACATACCTGGACTGATCCGAGAACATATACAAAGCACGAGGTGCCCCTTTCGCGCCTGTTCCGAGCACTTGTAACGTAACTTTACCGGGTACATATTTAGAAATTCTCTCTTTAATTTTTTTCCGTTGCTTCTGGGCCTCTGCAATGTGTTTTTGCTCTTTCGGCATACCTTTGAGAATATTTATGAGGTTAGATTTGGACTGCTTTGAATGGAATCTTATGATAGGGATTGTTACGAGTCTGAAATAGGATATTTTGAGGAAAATAGGCATCAGGGGGTAAATTCGGTATTTATACTTATGTGCGGGTGATGAAAATTGTGAAATACTTGTGAATTTCCAATTTGAACTTTTGACGTTGATGGCCTTGAGTTTTTCTAACAGTTTGGCCAACCTGTGGACGCTCAATTTTCCCAAATTCGAATCGTATCTTAAAAATAAATTCCTAATGTACGTGTTCTTTTGTTTTAATTTGAAGACGCGTCTTTAAAGTTTACCGTTTTTCAAGAAAAACGATGTAAAAAAATTGTTTCGTAAGTGTGTAAAAAAGGTGGATATTTGAGTTGGTTAAGTGAAATGAGTATGAGTGATTTGTGTTAGGAAATAATAAAGTGGACTGTACACGAAGACCAAGCGATTAGTTTAAAAATTCCAGTAAGTGTTATGAATAGTTTTCAGGTTACGTTTATGATTATCTACAATTTATATTGTTTTACGCTATAATTTTAAGGTTATAAAATTATCCCTTGCTAAACTTTTGCATAGATTTTACTCAATCGCTTTATTTACCATAGAAAAGGTTTGGGATGGTTTTAATATTTTTGTATGTATAAAAAAATCATTTTAAGGGGGACATAACACATTTATTGATTAAAAAGTAATACAATTAATGTAAAAAGAAAAATGTACACTGTTAAAGCACTTGAGTACCAAGCATAATTGCATAAAAATCAATTCTAAATAAAAAATAATATCCTAGGAAAAATACTTTCATTTATATTCACTCCTGTATAATATATATAATTTTTTTGTAAAAGCACATGTTTCATTGATTTAATAAAGAAAATATATTCTTTGAAAGAAATAGCATATTGTGGGAAGTCGTGAAAATTAGCAAAAATGTATAAATCTTCAATCATGAGAAAATAAAAACTGGTTTATGGCTATGTAGGAGAGTGTGGGGTGTATCACATATATTTTGAAAATGCCCTGAGCATAAATTGTGTATGACATAAAAGGAAACAGTTACGTTACACATTGTTGCAAATTTTCACGAAATCCCTAAATACATTGAAATTTAAAAATATAAAGACTACTTTTTACACTAGTTAAAATGAGCTTATATACGCTTTTCGCAAAATCTTAAGGCCCTACTGATTCGGTTGACCAGTAAAAGTTTCAAAAAGGCTTTGTAAATTGGTTTCAAAAAGGTTCCACAAATATATAAAAAGATAAGGTTTGAGGCAAGGTAATACTTCCAAAGTTGTAGATATAATACTTTCTGAGAACTTGCCACAAAAGTCTGCAATAAAAAAAATATAGTAAACCGTCGGCACATCGACAAACACAAAAGAAACAGAACTTTATCCGCCGACTAAGGTGCCAACCCACCTTAATCCTTCCAGTCCTTCTTGATTTCGAAGGTCCACTCCCACTTGAGGTGCTCATTTTTGTCATCGTCCGTGAACAGGGAGTGAACGGTGTAACCGCCCCTCGCCATCAAACCCGAAGGGGCATCTTCGGGTGGGGTAGTGTAAGACTGCATTTCGACTTTAGGAGCGTAGGAACCCACCATGTGGGTCATTTTGTCCACTAAAATATTCCAATATTTAATTTTTTTTAATGTTAATTGCAAAAGCAAATAAACATTGCAGAAACTCAACTCTATGAATGATCTATGAATGTGAGTAAAGCTTTTTAAAAGATCATAGAAAAAAAAAATGTTAAACGATCTTAGATGACTGTTTTCAAAATTAAAAATTATATTGGTACGTTTGTCACTTTCCCTATTTTTTTTTTGCGAGTCATCTGAAATCTACGAGACACTAAACATCAATGCGATGATTAATAAGCCTGTTTTACCTGGTTCTGGAAACCAATCCAGAAAACGACAGCATTATTATTGACAAGAAAAATATATTAGTACTATGTTCACATAAAACGTTTCACCAAGTACTTCAAATTTGAAACTTTTGTCAAGTACATGGAAATTCAGATTGTCCCTTAGTATGACTGCCAAACTAACATCTTATAGGACATGAAAATTAACGCAAGAAGTTCAAATAAACACTCATTGCGTAGATATAGCGGCTTGAAGATAACATGTCCGCAATGATTCCTTTTAAATAATTTATAAAGTTGAAATATCAGTGTAAGTTATTTTACATGTTTATTGGCTATTTGTGATCCATTTTATTGGTTGTGCCAAAATTCATGCAAGATTTTAATTTTGTGCCATTTATGCAGTAAACTGTTTGAAAGAAAAAAGACAGCGTAACAATTTGGGGTTACGAAAGATTTGCATCTTCATGCTTTCAAAGTTCAATCGACTCAAGAATTGAAGCCTACTGACCATACAGAGCGAAGAGAGTTCGTTGAATGGATTATGGAACAAGTGGATGCAAATTTTTCAAACAAAATCATCTTCAGCGATGAGGTTCATTTTCAACTCGGAAGGAAAATGAGTCAATTTTGAGGAATTTTTTAAACTAAGAAATATTCATTGGGCGGCTATTTTCTGAAACTCGTCCGAAAACGGTTAATTCTCCTACAAACTTGTACTCTGAACCCGAGCGGACATGCACAATGTTTATATAGTTCTATCGTTTAAAAATATAAAAAAATAATCGATTTTTTGATCGTTGAAATTGTATACACGGCTGGCAACGGTACATGGTCCGTCTGCCTTTACATGTGAGCGACAAAGTAAAGTAAAGAAATCCGTGCGATAGACAAGGATGGTTATAGTGAAGACGTTTCATAATCTGAATAGTTACTCCCACTTCTAACCGAGCAAATCCCAAAAGGGGCAGTGACTATTCAGATTATGAAACGTCTTCAATATAGCCATCCTTGTCTATCGTACGGATTTCTATGATTTACTTTGTCACTCTCACGGAAAGTAAATGGACTATGTGGATTTTCCAGCCGGGTATTTCCCCTTAATGGCATTTGCTATCGCAAATGCCATTAATCCAGTTTTTTGTGACTAAATTGCAAGATATGGATGTGACCGATATGTGGTTTCAACAAGACGGTGCCACATGCCATACAGCCCGATAAACAATCCAATTACCGCATGAGTCATTTCCCACTCATGTAATTTCCCGTTTTGGTGATCAAAATTGGCCGCCGAGGTCATGCGATTTAACACCGTTGAACTTTTTTCTTCTGTTTTTTTTTTAAGGTTTATACCAACAAGCCCACGAATCCTCACACCTTCTAGGAGGAAATTGAGTGCTGTTTCAACAAATTTCAGTCGCATTTATGCAAAACGGTAATGGAAAATTTCAATAAAAGAGTGGGTATGTGCCACCAATGCCGCTGAGGCCATTTACCCGATATGCTATTCCAAAGATACTGCATACTTCATGAATAAAAAAATATTTACAATTTTTAATTAAAAAACTTGTGTTTTCTAACAAAATTACTTCTTGCATGAATTTTGGGACACCGTTTATATAAACTCTTAAAATTGGAAGGAGGAACTCCAGCAATTACAATTTTTTTTGTAATAAAAATATGTAACATGAAGAATATTAAAATATTTCATTAATCATTTAAGAAAAATTTGAGAATTTTTTGAAGATGTATTGAAATATATTGATGCATTGAAAAAACTTAAATATTTCATAATTTCATACTTTTCAAGTATTTCCGAAACTTGCAGTGCAAAATTTGAAAAATTTTAATGAAGTATTTCATTTTCATAGATTTCATAAAATTTAATAACTCTTCTGATTAACTATGGCGATAATTTAAAAAAATTCACTCCTGCACGTTTTGGAGTAACTAAAAATTGGTCATCATTATAACGTTTTAATAGAATAACCATCGAAAAAATGCAGTGATGGTAATCTTCAGGAATAAATAAATGTACATCGTTACGTACTCAAAAGGATACACAATTTAAATAGGTAGAGTAAACCTGTAAAAGTTTGGCAGTCGAATTAAGAGACGCCCTGTATTATAAATTTTTCAGAATAAAAATAAATATGTAAATGCGTTTTTCTTACCTGGGATGCCCAGTTTGCTTGTCTTTTGCACGTATTTAAGTCCATGTACTATTTCCCTTTGCACTATAAATTCAATTCTTATTCTATACGATACCCCCTCCTTAATCACAAAGGTTTCCTTTTTCAGTTGCGACAAGTCACCTGTGAGATCGAGGGCAATCTCAGGTCGATCTGCGGCGACTAGAACCAGCCTTTTAACAATAACTTTTCTTGGATTATCGGGCTCTACAAAAGGAGATAATGTCATTTGACAAGTCGTTAAAATTAAGGAAGAAGAATAAGTCACAGTTTACTAAATATTTAGTCAAAATTGTAACGTTTATTTTTAGTATTGCATCATATTTTTCAAATTACATTTTTGGTTAAGGCCCTAAAATACTGTAATGGTGAAATTTTTTATATTTATGTGTATTATAAAGGTCTCTAATCGCATCACAGTGTTGGCTATATTGTTGACTGATTGCATTTAATATTGATATCTTATCAATGTCAATAAAAATTGTTTAAATATATGTGAACTTAGAACATCCTTGGAAAAATCAAGTCGTAAGCTCACTAAATCAACCTTTAATAAACCATGCATTATCTGAAACTATCTAAGGTATTAGTTAGATAGTTTTTTCAACATTTGGAAAAACAAAAAAATACTTTTTATGCCAGAGAGTTGGATTAGTTTCAATACATAAACTTTTGCTCAACAACAACGAGAAAGTGGATTATTGCAGATAATACGTATTAATTAATCGTATTTAAAAAATATGTTTACAATGAATAAGAATTAAGATAAATAATGACAAAAGTCGATAACCTGTAAATTAATTTATTAAGAATTAAAAACATGTCTTACAATGAGTATGTTTTTAACGATGAGCTAGCTTATTTTTTATTCTTTTAATTAATTTATGTGCCTTGGGTTTGGATATGATAATTTGTTTTGATATAGCTGAATTTATTTTTTTAAAGTTAAAAATGATTTCACTGTTCTGACAATTAAAAATATGCAAACATGAAAAAAAATCAATAATACTAAGATTTTGCGTATTTGTGGCTAGAATTTTATTACAAGAATAACAAACATGGCATGTTAAGTATGAAAACATCTGGTATATATTTTCTTAACGAAAAAAATCATATTTGTTAGGATTTTTTCCATATTCTTAAACCTGAAACCTTAGAACTTACCAACAATGACTGGTCCGGTTTGCGCCTGTCCCAGTAAAGCTTCTTTATATTTCCTCAGACTTTCATCCTCCTGGTCGATCTGTAAGATTTCCTCAATGGTCTTTTCTGGCGGAGGCTTGTAATTGGATTCCTGTTCGTTCTCGTTTTCTACGAATTCCTCGGGAGTTTTCGCTTCTTCGCTCCCAGACATTTTATCTGACGAAAAGAAATAATTTAAAACCGATTTTGGGTAAACAAAAAGGATGAAAAGACTAGCTAGATGATTCACATATAGGTTATGTCGGAGTACAAAGCGAAATCAGCAATCACCGTAACGAAACTAACGGACCATAAAAAATAATTACGTCGACATATTAAAATAACCATCCGTACATTAATAGCTATTCCAATGTTTATCTTTAATAAAGATCGGTAAAATTTTCACCGGAAATTGGGTAGAGGTAGGTTGGTTTTCTCGTTAGATCAAGCATGCCGATTAGAAAAAAATTGAAAGGTGTACTTACTAGATTATGTGGATTTTTTTTCTCGAACCAAAAATATTGGAAAAGTGTAAAAATGGGTAAATTTCTCTTCACGAAAAATGGGTGGATGCCCCCTAGTACTGTACTCGTACAACTACGCAAGCGTAAATTTATAAACAGAGGCGCGCAAACTCAATATTTGATTCGTAGTTTATTAGTCATCCCTGCATTAATTCAAGCCATAAAAAAATCGGCAACTCATATTAATATTCATATAGGTAGGTATAATATTATTTTTATAAACTATTGTTTTCTCAGATAGCCAAATAGGATGTACTTTTTTCATTTATGATAATAATTTCCCTACCGAAATAGATTTTCGGGTTTCATAAATTGAAAACATTAAAAAAAACGGTTGTAACGATTTCATTGAAACTTGGCAGGCAACTTTAATTTTAAATTGTTCACAATATTATGTGCACGTTTTATACGTTACTTTACATGCAGGGACGTTATTCTAGAGGCGGATGTGGCAAATTTCCCTTCAAATTTTTAGGTTTCAAATTTGACCTATTACTATCGTATCGGGCTTTGCAAAATTGTATTCTTGCTGTATGTTGCTATAATGCAATTGGTAAAATCTTCGACCATGCGTAATTATTACTAAGTGCCAAAATATGACGCATTGAATATTTTTTTATTAATTTATAACGAACAGTAGGAGTAAAAAGTTACTTTGTAGAGTACCTACCTGTCTAATCAATTTTTATTATGATTTATGTATTTGCTTTTAATGTAGGTAATTTACATAGATGCTATGGTACCTATAAAATTTAAGTAAATAGAATTTTTAGATAGTATTTTTTTTATTTAACACTAGTAACTATACTTGCATTATCCCACACAAGTACCTACTCAAGAGTCAAGACCTTGAAATAAATTAAAAATTTATTATACTTGATGCTATATTTCATTGGGCCTCATGAATAAAACGGGCGAGCATTTGCTTAAAACAAAAAGTAAGTAGAAGCCATGCAGAAGCTAATGCTTTTTAACTTAAAAGCACAGCATTATGTAAACTAACAAATTCAGCTGACTGGAAATCGTAAAATGCGTGTGACTGAATAATTATAAACAGACATATTTAAAAATGTTCCAGTTTGGAAATTGTATTCCATAAAATTCAGAATGATTGAAAGCAGTGAAATGATCTTAGATCTTTTACATTATTATGCTTTGGTAAAAGGTTACTGTTACCACAAAAGCATTTGATTCATTTCATGGGCGTAGCCAAGGGGGCAGAGGGGTCACCCTCTCTAATTTTTCCTGGACGCATTTTCCATCCATTTTACCTCGTTTAGTATCGAACAGTCTGATTGAATCACTTGTCTGCCACTGTTTGCTTTTGGCCGTTGGATAGGAAGGCTTTTGCACTAAATTCCTAGGTTTAACCATATATTCTTGGTATTTATGAAACCATGATTTCTCATACCATACTCTTTGTTCAATAAACTGGCGTCCTCCTAGAAAAATTCCTGGCTACGCCCATGGTTCATTTTAAACTGCAATTATGAGGACACGCGCCATTATTCCATAGCTAGAAATTGGCCTCAATGATTTGGGATCGAGGGGGATTATCCCTCTTTATCCTGCCTCATCTCGTGTAGGCCTGGACAGCCTTCGTAGGTGGGCCCCATCCGTCGTCTACCCCGACCGCAAATGCGGCCGGTGTAGGCGCTTTGTGGGACCTCCTTTTGTCCTGGCTGGGCCCCGCCGGCTAGGGCCCTTTCTTCTGGCGCTCTTCTTGCTTCGCCGGCTCGTCTGTGTAAACCCCGGGGGTAGTGTCATGTTTATGTGTGGTATGGTTGGGTAGGGTAGTGCGGCTATGCAGCCTGGGATGCGCTTTGCTAAGGTGGCCCTTAGGCTAGCGCGGGAGGGGAGGGGTAAGGAGGGTATGGGGGGTGTGTATGTGTGTGTGTGTGTGTCGTTGTCTTCGTTTCTTGATCCTGGCTGTCTCTGAAACAGAAAAGGTTAGCGGGCAGGGGGGGGGTCATTGGGGTGGTCACCCAGGGTCAAAAAGTTGGTGTCTAGGTCTTTTGTGTTTGTCGGTCACGTCGGGTACGTAGTCAACGGCTTGCCTGAGGAGGGGATTGTCATGTCTAGCGGCTACGTCAAATCGTTTCTCCGCGTTTTGTCTTATTGTCTGTGTAGCGTTTGTGTATTGTAAGTCTCGTAATATGTCAGTGTTTCTTACGTACCAGGGCGCGTCGGTGGCCGTGCGGAGGGCTATGTTTTCCACAGCCTGTAATGACTTTAAGTGGCTTTTTGCCGCGTGACCCCACGCCGTGGAGGCGTAGGTTAGCTGCGGTTGAAGTACCACCTTGATAAGCGTTCGCTTATTCCTTAAACTGAGGGTGTTTCCACCTTTGAGTAAGGGATAGAGCCTAGCCCTGGTGGTCTTCGCTCGCGCCACCGTCTCCACGATGTGCGGTTTCCACGTGAGACGCTGGTCCATCGTCACGCCCAGGTATCGTGTTTGTCGATTCCAGGAGATGGGTTCCTGGGATAGTGTCAGTCTGTCGAGGTTTTGTGGGATTTTTCGTTTGGTAAAAAGGATAGCCGAACTTTTGTTGGGATTAATTTTGACTTTCCACCTGTTGCACCAGGTTTCAAGTTGGTCTAAGGAGTTTTGGAGGAGGGAGACGGAATATCTAGGATCTACGGATTGGGATGTGATTGTCAGGTCGTCGGCGTATAAGTATATGTTGGTGTTGGGGGGATGTGGGATGTCGGAGTTGTAAATGGTGTATAGGTGTGGGGACAGGACGGTGCCCTGGGGGACACCGGCCTCCATGGGACGGGTGGTGGAAAGGGAATCTTGGATTTGGATGCGGAATTTTCGGTGGTGTAGGTAGGATTTTATGAGTTTGGTAAAGGATATGGGATATTGGTTGGTGAGCATTTTCATCAGTAGGCCTTCATGCCAAACCGTATCGAAGGCCTTTGCGACGTCCAGGAAGACAGCACCAGTGTACTGTCCCCTGTTGAAGGCCGCCGTGATGTGCTCGGTAAGGCGAAGGATTTGGAGTTCAGTGGAGTGATTGGGTCGGAAGGCGAACTGCTCGTCTGGAATGACTTGCAGTTCTTGGGAGTGGGTTCTTAGACGGGTTAGGATAATTTTTTCTACCACTTTGCTCATAGCCGGGAGCAGGCTAATGGGCCGGTAGTTGGATGGGATGGTGTGATCTTTGTTGGGTTTTGGGATAAGGATTATGTTTGCTGTTTTCCAGCGGGTAGGGAAGTGTCTTAGTCTGAGTGTCGCGTTTGTTATGTTTAGTAGGGCCATGAGGCCCTTGTGTGGTAGTCGTTTAAGTGTCGTGTTATGTATATTGTCGGGTCCGGGGGCTTTTCTGTTTTTAAGTCTGCGTATTGTCAGTCTTAGTTCGTCAGGTGTTGCGGGGGGGATTATGTCATTGTCTGGCTCTCTGTCGACGCGTCGGGCCGCGCGCTCAGCCACTATCTCGAATTCCTCGTCTTCGTCGGGCAGCTGAGGCAGTCTACACTGCAGTTCCAGGCTATCGGCGAAAGCCTCGGCCTTTTCCTGGTTCGTGTAAACCACCCCCACACTACCGTGGATTGGAGGAATTTTACGGCGAGCGGTCTGTCGCAGGGCCCTCTGCGTTTTCCAGAGGCTGTTGTCTTGTGGATCCAGCGACTCCAGGTGCCTAGCCCAGTTATCCTGGGCCAGTTCATCCAGAGCCGCCTTCACCCGTCTGTTAAGTACGTTTAAGTCATGTCTGTGTCGGGGGAGGCGGGTGCGGGTGGCAAGCCGTTTCGCACGTCGTCTGTCACGTATTAAGTTTTTTATGTCATCGGGGAGGGTGCCCCGGGGGTTTGTCAGTCGGGGGACAATAGTCTCCGTCGTAGTCTGAGTCAGGGCGTTTTTAATGTCAGTCTCAAGGGAGAGGATTGCCGCCTCCAGATCATGGGTGGTTTCGATGACTGGGAGCGCCATGTTTCCTTGCATTACTGTTCGGAAACGCTCCCAGTCAGTGAACCTCCTCGTGAAGGTGCCTTCATATCTCTGTCTTCGCCCCAGATCCAGAAATATTGGATTGTGGGCGGAAGACCCTTCGTATTGGGTGGATATTTGGGCATTTAACGGTATAGATTTTAAGAGGGCAATGTCGATAACGTCGGGGCGTCCTACGGGTCCGTAATGTGTCGGTTCTGTCGGTCCGAGTATAGTCAAGTCGTCGTGTCTGTCTTGGTAATTCAGCAGGACGCGACCTCTTGTGGTCGTCGTCCCGCTGTGCCATATGGGGGACTTCGCGTTGAAGTCCCCGATAACTATGAGGACAAAAGATCCTCCTCCAAATCGATTATTATTTTCAAGAAAACTTGATTTAATGCAAAGGCAGTATTTTGGGATTTTGTTTTTGGCTCAAATTCGGTTAAATTATTGTTTTAATTTCACAATGAAACAATATGTGATTAAAGATATTTTGTCAAATTTAGATTCTCACAGTTGTATAAAATGTAATATTTTCTTTTCGAATCCTGCTTCATTTATACTGTAATAAAATGGGTAAATTTTAACTGTTATTTGTGCTCCAAGAAATAAATGCGGTTTTCCTTGGAAGAAGGTCATTTAAAGAAATCAATGGTCTTAAATTTTTTGAAAAATCATGATATATTTTCTATTCAATAATGGCCATATAAAGCCTTTAGGGAATTTTAATGATTTCTTTCTCATATCTGTAGTTTGTTATTAATAATAAATGCACCAGATTTGAAAAGTAGTAAATATTAATTAAAAATTTACTTTGATGTTTTTTGAGTGAAATCACTCCTTAATTTTGTTTGCTTATAAGTTTCCAGACAGTTCTGACACCCTGTATGTGTGTCGTATTGAAAATTATATCGATCTTGAAGGACTTTGATTCTGTAATTTCTTAACTGGAAGTAGCTTTCGTGTTTTGCATAGGTGTTAGTGCACTATTCTTGTTTTCTTCGTGAAATAATTAGCTAGCCAATAATGCACAATTTCATGATTGAAACAGAAAACGTAGCTATAATCACTCGTGACTATCTCTACACTTTTTTTTATAACGTTTTTTGGTTCTCATTTGATATATTTCTCACGTTCAGATGTACCAATTCCAGCTGAAGTCTGTTATTGGTACTGAGGTACTTTACACCTACATTGTTATCGAGAAGCAAATACTAGTTTTATTCACATAAAAAAGTTTTATAGACATTAACTGTATTTTTCTTTTCCAAATCAAACACTTTTTCTTTTAATTGTAAAGCAAATTCTTCAAAATGCTCGTGAGACCGATCGGTAATAATCGAATTAGGCATTAAATAGTATATTATGTTACTAGGAGTAGAAGGCGATCATTATGTGTTGAGCCCAAAAGTTTGCTCGCCGAGGCGTTAGCCGAGGCTGAGCAAATTGGGCAAAACACATAATGAGCCTTCCACTCCGAGTGACATATACTATTTTTTCTTCAAGCGTGAATATAAAAAATTACTAATTTTGAAAATTTATAGCGGATAACGCGATGTTCAATCTCAGCACAAAATAAAATCAGTAGGTAGGTAATACTATTTATTTTATACATTTTATACATTTTATTGATTAATTAAACATGACAGTTTTAACCACTTTATTCATGAATAAAAAAACAAATGTAACAATTATTTTTCTTTAATTTGAATTAAACGAATAAACATCTAAATTACCTACATGTCTATCATCAAACTTTATTTATTAACATGAATATTAAATGTGCAATTTTGTATGGTACAGTTGTTGATATTTAAAGCGCTGCTGGCTGTCTTTTTTTCAAAGTTTACAGTTCTGTCGTTGAATACGTTACTTGTAATAAGGTTCTCAGTTTCAGTGTTAACAATTGTACCATTATTAACAGAAAAGTCTTCGATTAAATTATTTTCAGGATCAATATTTACAGTTTCGCTTGATGTACTTGGTTCATTATACTCTAATGGGTTTAATATTTTCATCGCTATCTGTTTCTTATTGTTTACAGAATCTTCAATGTATCCTTCAGCGACGCTGGTAGATTTCCATCCACCATGTCGCTTTAGGGTTGTAATGTCTCCACCATTATCAACTAAGATAGTTGCCGAGGTTCTTCTAAGGCAATGCCCCGTATATTCATGTGGATTTGGCAACCTTAAAAATGATGCAACATCTTTTGGCACTTTTGAAATTTTATGTATGCCCATTACAACACGATGACAATGGCCATTTTGATATTTAATAAAAAATCTATCAAAAGTTATGTCTTTTGGCCGAAGAGTAGCATATTTTCTGTATAAATTTAAATAAAACTCTCCAATTATGGTAAATGAACGATGTTTTTTAGTTTTTGTATTGGGAATATTTACTAATATTATATTTCCCAAATCTTTTACATCATTAACTTTTACTTGAATGAGTTCATCGCATCTACAAGCTCCTGTGACTCCAAATATTAGTGCAACCTAAAAAATATAGAATTATTAATTTTGTAACAATAAAAAAAGTTGGAAAATGCAAGGAAATTCTAAAACATGACGTAATTTTAAGACATCTATATTTATGAGTTTTTACAACATTCTTCCAATGAGCTATCTTTATTTCCGAAAATTGTTTATTATTCTCGTAATGGATACTATAAAATAACTTGAAGTTTACAAATTATAACAAAATTTTGTATTACAAATATAAAAAGGTTAAATATATATCTACCTATAATTTAAAAAGTACATACCTTGGTTGCTAAATATTTATCATCAGGTGCTTTATTCAGGAATTCGTCAAATTCTTTTTTAGACAAAACTTTCGACTTTTTTGGTTTATAATTTTCACCTTGTCGTTTCAAAAATGTAATTAATTTTGAATATTTCTCAATATTTACATTGTGTTCTATGTTTAATTTAGATTTTACCATTGAATATTGCGCCCATAAAGTTGAACTTTTCAGTGTTCTGGATAATCTTGTAAAATATGCTATCATCACATTTTCTGAATAAATATGTGCATTATTTTCTTTTGCCCAATTTATGAATTTATCATAAGCATTTTCATAAATTTTTCTCGACTTTGTTGGTATAAGTGTTGCCACTGATGTATTTGCAATTTCCAGTAATTCTGGTGGTGTGCACTGCATTTCTTCAGACATTTTAAAAACGACCCGACGCGACATCAAATTTCAACTGACACTTAATGAAACGTCAAAGCTTCTTGAATCTTTAATTCGTTGCTAGGATACTTACCTACACATTGTTACATTTTTTTACTAGTTAAAAAATGAAAAATATTTGTACTAGTTAAACAATAGGCTGCTTCTAAAGGAGGTGTTGCACTATATAATATAAGTATTATTATACGCTTGAAGAAAAAAACAATTTTTATTGTTTCAGTCTATAAATTTTCGAAAAACATCCAAGGATTACAAAAAAAACAATGCTATTAGAAAATTGCAATCTTTCCTGACGACTATGACTGCAGCATTACGTTTACGCATTTCCCGAGTGATATTTTTAAACTGCACTACTCTAGGAAGCTAATAGTTGAATACACAAAAATATTCAATAACTTGAGGTCGAAAATAGAACTTTTTCAGATATACATAGATCACCGTTCGCGATGTTTACTATGTGATACTAGTATTGGGTCAAAAACACCTTGGAATATATTAGATATTTCGATAGTAGATTATTTTAGTTGTATCTACAGCGTCCAAATTAAAATAAAAACTTGGAATGGGAATTTTGAGGATTACGAAATAAATAAGTTTCAGATATAGTATTTATTTAAAACGTTCTTTTTATAAAAACCTATTAGTAATATTATATTAGGTTTCATTGCGGTGATATACAGTATGTATCTAAACTATATTACATAAAATATATTTTTAAATATTTAATAAAAAAAAAATTAAAACAAATTTACAAAACATATGTAAGTCTTTTTTGGCACACTCTGCACATAAATTTGCCTGCGAAGTATAAATATAATACAGAAAAATAATTATTATTAATATAAGACCAGAATAAAATTAATATAAATATTACGCACTCACTCTTGCACACTGAAATATTTACACACCCATTCGCTCTCGGAGTCCTAATAGTATCCTATACCAAAAAAAAATGGAGGCTTTGCAGCTCATCTCATGATATTTTCCATAATTATATACAAACAATAAAAAAATATATATATGGCCAATGTTGCTAAAGTTCCTCTCTTCTTTTGGACATGCCTAGTTTATATTATGTAAAAATATGAATCTCATAAAATAAAATCTCTCTGTACATTAACAATTACTAGGTATAAAGTAAAAAATAACCTGGTTGTTCATGGACAAAAGTTTTATAAATAAATATATACCACAGGCTCACAGGCACGCGATTGATAAGGCACATTGCGAAAATTACCATGTGAATTTTCTTCTGCTAAAGGGACTCGAATCCTGATATATCACTTCCCTAAAAACAGAAAATACCATTTATAATAACCAAATACCTATTGCATTTATATTGTATTAGTTATTTTTACAGTTAATGAGTTATAAAGAAAAATAAGTAATGTGGAGTAGGTAATTTGTTCACTGGACCATTTTTAAATTGTATGATTTTTTTATTCTTGGAAACTTAAATTAAAAAATCATTTCAGAGATGACAAAATGAGTTTTTTGGGAGGCAGGAAGTTATTTTATCGTTATGAACATGACTCCTTTTTATTAATAGTAAGGATATACCATTTATTCAAATTATAGTTGTATATTTTCTATAACTTCAGTGCAAAAATTTTTAAAAGAAAAAAAGATAATGCGCCTCTGTTTTATTTAAAATATAAAATGTGAGTATAGGTAATTTTTGATTGCTATCAAGATTGTTCTTCCAATGTATTTTTTTACGTACTTCAGTAGCGCTATTTTAATTATATTTTAGATTTATCTGTTATAAATATTATATATGTATACAATTAGGATAAAACACATAAATACCTTAAGTTAAGTAATGCATTAATTGTAAACATTAAACATTTATTATAAGCAATTAACGACAAATTATAAAAATCATCAGTGGCGTACACGTTACTTGTCTCAGGGAGTCAGAATATTTTAAATTGTTTCTCTATTTATTTGGGAATTTTGTAAAATAAATGAATGAATGTTATTTTATGAAATTACTCGTAAAATAACCATTCATTTTTATTATTTCGCAGGTGGCAAAATACCCAAACAAGTAACGAAAAAAATTAAAACTATGCACAGATAAATAACATCAGAAAATATTTTAAGTGTTCTAGAATTTGCGTACGCCACTGACTACAACTGGTTTAAGTCTGCTTGTAAGCTTAAGACGAAACACCAATTTGAGTCGATAATGAATAAAAAAATTGCACAAGGAATGAGAAATACTTTGTGTTAGTATTTAATATTTAGCAAAAAAAAAATGTAAATAGTACAAAACACTGGCGTATTCGTATTTTTTTTTTAATTTATAGGCTGCTCGTTAGCGTTATTTTGAAATCATGGTTTCATATGGAATATACGGTTAAACCGAGGCCAAAAGCAAACGGTGGCCTAAAAATAAATGGCCAGTAATAATAATATAATTTTTAAAACTTGCAGCATGTAACGAGGATTATGGGGGGAGCGTTCCTCCTACCTGCCCCCCTGGCTACGCTCATGTAAGTTTCCGAAAAACCTGTATAGTACGATCGTATTCGATGCAAAGTAATAAATCATTGCCTGTCAAGGGAATCAGTGCACACATTTTATAGGGGGTTTTGGAAATTGAATAATTTCTTTATGCATTATGAATTAACAGTTATATATTTATGAAGGATAAAATGAAAAACAAAGGCATCTCCTTCGCACATTGGGCGGCAGGGCAACAATACATTTATTACTCCCTTCATTATCCCTCATATGACTTGTGTCTTGTGTTTTTTGCGGCGGCGCGCGTGCCGGCCTGGCGTGGTCACTGGTCAGTTTCGTTTCGGTTGTATTGGTGCTGCGTGTTTCTCGCTCGCGATATTTGTGAGGTTATAACTGTTATAAGTGCAATTATATTTCTTTCGCGCTATTATTTGAGAATTTGTGAGTGAAATCATATTTCTTGTGCTCCGTAACAAAAGTGTTTTTAGTGTTTTATTTGTGTGCTGTGTGTGTGTTTCGGGCTGTTGTTTGTGAATCGTGAATGCTATTATATTTTCTGTGCTAGTGAAGTGAAGTTTTTTGTATTATTATTGCTCTGTTGTCGTTATATGGATAAATGGAGGCGGTGCCTGGATGTTCGCGAGCCGGATGTACTGCTGTGGGTACAAAAAAATCTATATTAAGTTACAGAGAAAAAACGATAATATTAAATGTCTATAACCCTTTAGAAAAGGATCATCCCATGAAACTGAAGACTGGTTTGGTGGAAATGTGTTCTAGATATACTGGAGTAAGCGAATTATCTGTTTTCAAAATTTTAAGAGAGAAGAAAATTGAAGGAGACGTTAAGAAACCTAAAAAAGGGGGTGCAAAGAAGAAATTAATATTAAATGAAGATGAGAAAAATGCAGTTTGGCGTACAGTACATAAATCATAGAATTTATATTTTGTTTATAATTTGTTAACATTTCTTGTTTGATAGAAAAATAACTTATTTTGTTGAGATTGGTAGAGAATTGTTGTTAGTGTTTTCATTTGATAGAATCATATCATAGGATTTATATTTTGTTTTCATTCTGTAAATATTTATAGTATATCTGTTATACAAGGTTTTTGCTTTGAAACTTCGTTCTCCTTATAAAAAAAGAATCGTAATGGGGTGCGATGAAGTGATCAGTTCACGTCTGGAACCCTGTTCCTACAAAAATCCCTTTATTCTCATAAACTATTTGTTTTAAATGTAATTTATTATAAATCCAATTCGTTATTTAAATTCCACATATGTACTACATTTCACCTCTGTACGCGCCACTGTTTATTGTTCCCTGCTCTACGATCAAGCTCGCCAGGTTAGTATTTGACGTATAACCAACCACTTCGTACACTCGATGCACCTGGCCGACTACAGCTAGTACCAGAACACAGTGCGTATGCGGCGGTATTTCAGATTTTACATTCAATTTCATTTTAAATTTGAAACGGTTCATCTTACGCCTCCTAAAAATGATGACACGATTTTCCTTTGATAAAAGACCGACAATTTTTTGCTCTACTTTGCATCGTATACGATCGTACTATAGTAGTTTTTATGCATTTTGGTCCACTGTTCTATGCAAATCTATGGTTTTGTGGTTCAGTTATATTTGTGAGATTATTTTTGTTAGGGATGTTCTGTGGATCATTTTATTTAACCTATAATTAGTACAATTTGCGAAATAAAAATGAGGAAATATGGCAAATTTGTCGCTGATTTTTTATGTATTAGATGATGGTGTGAAATGTGTATAAAAAGGTAAATTTAGGATTTAGGTAATATATCTAGGTAAGAAATATTGACAACATAATTTACAGTATTTCCATTTTTTTAGTTCTGTTAGAAGTATTTATTATAAAATTGTTGCAGGTCCGTTTTATAAAAATAAAATAATTTTTCAAAATTACTTCTAATATCAGGTATCTTCTGACATACAGTATGTCCACGGTTAGAGTGGAAAAGAGGGAAAATATTTTTATTTTTCATTTTATGAGAAAAATGCATTCTTGATTAAAATTTTTGCTTGTCTTCAAAATGCGGTAGGTATAGAGAACTTTCATCTTGCATGTACCTACCAGGGTGATCAGAAAATCGGAAAATAGGTATAAAAATTGTTTAAAAATAAATTGCCTTTTAATAACACAGAAATATATTATTAAGGTCTAACGTATTCTTAGATATATAGCAGGTGTAACAAGTCGACAATCTTGTAAAAATATTTTTAAGGAATATAAAATATTAACGCTTCCGAGTCTTTACATCTTTGAATTATGTGTTTTCTTTTTCAATAACAAAAATCATTTTAACAAAGTATGTGCTTTGCATACATATAAAACTACACAATGGAATACTTTTTGTGTGCCTTATAGTAATTATAATGTGTCTGTAAAGTCTCCTTTCGTGTTTGGACCCAGGGTGTTTAATAACTTGCCCTTGGAAATAAAAATGATTGAGAATTTCGGTAGGTTTAAATCTAAGTTAAAATATTATTTAATTGACAAATGTATATATAACATTACTGAATTCTTTTAGTAAAAGAATTTATGGCTTTTATCTTCCCTTTTTTGTATTATTGACTATTCCCATACTTTATTGTAAAGTCTTTAATGAAAATAAAGGTTATTTATTTATTTATTTATTTATTTTATTTATTTATTTAAGGAAAGTTGCTTAGAATTAAAATTTATATTATAATTTCAATTTGTGTATGAATCGGCCTACTTTGATAAAAACAGTAAAAAATTTTTATTGATCATTTTACGAGAAAAAGGCATTTTTGATTAAAATTGTTGCTTGTTTTTAAAATATCTATAAAACGTTTTTATAGATAAGCAAAAATTTTAATCAAGAATGTCTGTCTCGTAAAATGAATAAAATTTATTTACTGTCGTTTTTATCAAAGTAGGTAGGCCGATTCATACACAAATTGAAATTATTATATACATTTTTATTCTAAGCAACTTTTTTTAACATATTTCTGTATTGTTTAAAATACAGGCAATTTATTTTTGAACGATTTTTATATTTAACAATTTTTTGATGACCCTGTACATGCAAGATGAAAGTTCTACACGACAATCGCATTTTAAAAACAAGCAAAAATTTTAACCAGAAATGCCTTTTTCTCGTAAACTGAACAATAAAAATATTTTACTATCCGTTTCTATCAAAGTCGGCCGATTCATATACAAATTGAAATTGTAACATAAATTTAAATTCTAAACAACTTTCCTTAATAACATATTTCTGTATTGTTAAAAACAAAGGCAGTTTATTCTTGAACGATTTTTATATTTACCGATTTTCTCCCTGTACATGCAAGATGAAAGTTCTCCATGCCAATCGCATTTTAAAGACGAGCAAAAATTTTAATCAAGAATGCCTTTTTCTCATAAAATGAACAATAAAAATATTTTCCCTCTTTTCCACTCTAACCGTGGACATACTGTATATAAATTATGCCATACGTAGTACTAGAGTTGCTCCTGATTAATACTTTAAAATAATTATTTAAATATATAACTGCTGCATAATGCGCCCTTCAACTTTTGTAAATAGTAGTTCATCGTACTAATGAGGCTTACCTACTTAGTTGGAAACATGCACGATAACGTATTTTGTAAAGCCAGTGCATAAGGCTGTCTTTTGTCAGGCTAAGTATTTTTTTTATTAGTTATTGTATGTTAAAATTCTGCATTATCTAACAGTTTGAAAAATGATTATATTTTTATTAAAAAAATGTCGGTGCAATCAAAACGTACTGATTTTGCTGTAAAGTTTTTTTGGGTAAATAATTTCGATCATAAGCTGTGTTTTATTTACCTGAGATCCTAGATGTTCTCAACTATTCTGAATGCTGATTATTCAATTAAGTGAGATTATCCGAGATTTCAGGTAAATAAAACACAACTATAAAAATCATTATTAGTACTATTTTTAAATTTGCATTACAAAAAGGGAGCCATCTATTAACAGTTTCCTGGACTTATACACTCCAGGAAAACAATAGATGGCTCTGGCGGTCACAATTTGACGTTGATAGTTCATAGAGAAATATGATTCACTTTTTCACGATACCTACTATATGAACAATAATTTTGTATGATTGGTAAATGTTTTTTTTTTATCAATTTTACGTACCCTGTCAGGTTTATACAAATGCGTGTGGGGAAGCAAGAAAGTAGATCCTAAATCTCTTTCAGCCATCGTGTTTGCCTCCTATAAAAAAATCAAATCGTAAACGTTTATTGTATTTGTTTTTTTTTTCAAAGAAAAACCACTCACATCGTTCGGCTGCTGTGAAGACGGTTTGGAGTCGTAATCGGTTCGGAAGGATTTCATCGGTGGTGGTATGGTCGTCTCGTCGTACGATCTGGCCTCCGATACGGTTCTGCTCGAAAAATAAAGCAAAAATATAGTCACAGGGGGTCAATTAAGTCAGTTTTATACTTACGTCACCCTCGGCACTATATCCAGCCAGTTTGAGGACGTTTCAACATCTTCATCCCTAAAAAATTAAGCAGAGAGCAGGGGGTGAATAAAAATATTATCTACAGAGTGTGTAAAATTCCACAGCTCGATATATCGAAAACTACTCGTAAAATAGATATCTGTTTTGCGTGGAGGGTACTCAATTTTGATCAAATATCATGTTTATGCAAACTTGCTTCTAATAAAAAATTAACGCCGACTGAAATACTAGGCCTATGGGCTATGTTTTAGAGGACATATTTTAATAAACCTAAAGTAAAGTAAAACAATGTGCCAATTTTGTGATAAAGTTACTATAATTTTTTATTTTATATTAAGATAATTCAAATAAATTCAAAAATGTTTTCAGTTGAACATATATAAAAACGCTTAGCAATAAAATTTAATAAGTTTCATAGGCATCCCTAAAAAAGTTTTCTGCTAAAGGTAAAAAATTATAATAATTTGTATATAATGTGTAGGAAATTTCTATTAATGATGGTAAATTTCGTTTTGTTCCGTTTCAAAAGGTCTCCAAAATGCCATGTTGTAATAATATTAGTAAACAAAATATCCCTCTTATTTCTCCCTTTCGCAATTGTAATATGAATGATTAATAGAAGGTGCCTATAATAAATTAAAATTACCTGAATCACACCAAATTCCGCATTGCTGCACTGCACTGCTAGGCAATTTGTCAGCCACTTGTCAACAACTGAGATTTATTGCCCAGTCGCACAGTGCAGCTGTGTTATACGCTGTTTGCCCCCGAGCACATTCTTCAACTGGGCGTATACATTTCTACCATCTCCATGTTTAGTTCGACCAAACCTGTATATGGGTATGGCTAAATAAATATGGGAACAAGTTTTTCAAATATTTCAGTGCCGAGTTGCTGCGTCAGCGACCGAACCTGGTGCATATTGCCAACCTCTTGGTTCTTTAATTGAGATCGGAAAAACTATAACAGTGTTCATTGATATAAAAAATCTAGGTGTACAAAATATGTCTAAACTCACAAACAAGATTCCTAGTTGTTGATATTGCACAAAATAACTACTATGGATTACATGCCCCACCTAGCATTAAATGACACCCACAATATCTAGTAAGAAGCTAGTAATAAATAATAATTATCCAAAATAAAAATTGAAAACAAATACTTTTAAATTAAAAACACCTGCCATAGTGAAAGTTTTATGTACATTTTTTATTTTTCTTCGCATTCTTCTTCGCATATAGTGTCCATGTGTAATTATTTTAAAATAAATAAAAAACTACAAACCATTAATTTTTGGTAAATAGTTTATATTACAAAAGTTGCAAAGAATTTAATAGTTTGTAGGTAAACCACCAACTTGTTTGATATCGCTATAAACTATAAAGAGCAATATCATTTGAATGTCAAACGCAATATTTTTTTTTGCAAAACTTAGAGATATCTCCTTGGGTTTTCGATATATCATTCTGGGGAGTTTTAAACGGAATACCGTATACGTATAGATAGCATAAAACTATCAGGCAAACAAATATGCTATGCTGTCACTTTCTTGTAACAAACTTTAGCATAGAGTAAAATATTAGAGCTTATAAAACTAAAAGTAAACCAATGATGATTAATACATAATGCAAGTCTATTAACGGTGCGTATTCACCAGTGATCGCGAACAGCTCCCAATCACCGAACTTTGTTACATTAACATCTTTATATTTATTTTGTTTAGGTATGTTGAATTCTCCAAAATTTGTGCAAGTTCTTTAAAGGTGCTCATCCTTCAACAAGCATATCAGGAGCAGTTTGTACAGTTATCAACAAGCCTTACTCGTGATCAGTTCAAACATATCGCAAACAGGTCGTGAGCAATTACGTTGGTATACAAAAAAGAATTTTTGGTTATTTGCCAAGAAGTTCTGAATAGTGTTTAGAGAGAGCCGATCCAGTTATCTTCGAGACTCCCTGTATACACGTTTTTCTTGATTGTTATTTAAAGAAGTAAACTGATAGGTCAGTTAGGTTTTTCAGTATACAAAATGTACTAAATCGTAAACGTGCATGAGGGGAGCTTCAAAGCAAAATAAATTTGGTTGTCTCTAGATTCTCGTGAAGTTCAATTATTGTGTTCCATGTTTATTAGTGAATAAATATGTCATCGTACGAAATGGGTTAATTTCTCGCTTGGAGTACCTAAATTTCGATCGCGAAATGTTAGTCGGTCAATACTCATCTTTAGATCTTGATCACAGAATATAGATGGCCTTGAATCAGCAATTTTTTTTAATCTAAGGAACTGACATTGTGCTCCATCTCTTTTTATTTAAATTTTTTCCTTCTATGTTTCGAATTATGAATTAACATGGTTGATAAAACTATAAGTGAACCTAAATAAAAATTACGTACACCAAAGACTTCCGCAATGTATTGAATTGGGACCTGGTGCCCGTGCTAGACAAAAGGTCCGCGCTGATCTTCTGTATCAACGTGGCGTTCTCGCTACGATCGGCCTCCGTACCACAGGTGGTACCCAGAGTACCTATATTATTGCACACCGTCGCCGAGACTTCAAAACCCGCGGAGACGAGTGCACCGGAAGTTTTCCTGGAAGTGGGTTTCTCTTCGATCAACGTCTCGCTCGGCGTGTTGCTGAATTTCCTCTTTGCTTCAGACTGAAAAAAAAATGTTACGCCGAATTGGTCGTGGAAAGGGAAATAGAATATCTTAATTTTTATCCATCTAAAAAATGGATTCCTCAGGAAAAACCTCATCTCTTTACCTTGCTTGGGGATGGACCAGCATCCAAGTAACTCAACAACTTCGCTTCGCTGACGGACGGCACTGACGGTTTTCGGGCGTCGAAGGTGGTGTAGTTCATGAGCGGTGACATAGTTGGAGCCGGATGGTATTTAGCTCTCGGGATCATCACAGTCAAAGATCTGTCTTTCTGGTCAGGGAAGGAAATCGTGTTCATTCCGTTCTCCACATCGGGGGGATGTTGCATGGAAACTTTCGAGGTCTTCTTGAGCGCCCCCTTCGGTTTCTTCTGTTTCTAAGATTATAATTAAGTGGTCAAATGACTAACTTTTTTGTAATTTGTATACCTGTTGAACGTAAGGCAACGTGTTGGTCTCGGATCTGCTATCTTCTGAACTCGTATCGTGGATCATGGCTCTCCTATCTAGTGTACCTCGATTTCCGGAACTTCCCACTCGTTGGGGGAAGAAACTCATTCCAGCAGCCATCCCCGCAGCTACCCCCGCTTTCTGAGGTTTGCGTCTCACGCAGGTTAAAATCAAGCACACTAACAGTAGGACGAATAGAATCGTTCCAAGTGTCACCAAAGCTATTAGGAGTACTAAAATAAAAAAGTTTATGATTGAGGACAATAGGAGTGTATTTATTATATTTACCTTTCAAGTTTATGTGGCAGCTCTCTCCAGCGTACCATTGGAAACAATCGCAAACTACTTCGTCTCCCTCACTGGAGTAGCATGTACCGTGGTAGTTGCATCTCTCACATCCAACTTGTTCCGCGGAACAAATCCGGCCAGGGTAAAGTATATTTTCCGACAGATCCAAATAACCTTCTCTACAGCTACAGGTGTAGGTTCCTCTTAAATTGAAACACTGGGCGTTGTCTGAGCAATCGTGGAATTTAGAATATGAACACTCATCGAAATCTTGAGCCTTCAACTCTTCTATAGATTGAGGGGAAGCGAAGATGTCTGTTCCGCCTAGGCTGTAATTGTTGTTGCGCAAGTACTTCTTGAAGATGTCTTCCAGGCGTATCTCGTCAATGTTATCGGAGAGCTGCAAGAAAAACACAGAATTAATTTGCGATATTAACGTAATATTTCCTCCAACTATTTACCTGTAGGTAGAAACGGGCAACGATGCCCTTAGTCGTGGGACCTGGTCCAAACGAATGCACTTGCACTCCGTGGAATATATCCCTTAGATCGGACTGCATCACCATCCTATCGAGAGCTTCACGCGTTGCTTGTGCGAATTTTATGAACTCAGTCGAGTTGGAATCACCCAGATCTTCGAAAAAGTGTAATTGGTCTTTACTAATCCTGTCTAGTGTTATTTTTAGATTGTAAGTGTAGGTCGCTAGAAATAAATGCAATCAAAACCAAATTCAAACCGATCTTATGTGGTACTTACGTAAGCAGGGCCTATCTGGGAACATCCTAGCGAATCCTGGTCTGCAAACGCATCTCATGATGCCTTCCACCTTCTGGCAGAGCTCGTTTCTCGTCGCTTTGCAGTCTGGTTCACATTTGTCAGTTTTCTTTTCTGGAATATCCTGGTTCGGATGGTTTCCGCCAAGTATACCAGCCAGTAGGATGTTGTTAACCTTGTTGCTCGTTATAACTTCGTCTCTATCCGGAATCTCATAACTGGTGTTGGGTACCTTAACAATACCTTTGGTGTTTTTGTCTGTCATCACTACAAGGATGGAGTCATTATCACTTATTTCACCTTCTTCATTTTTGCTCATTGGTGGTGGATCTGTTTCACTTATTATAAATTCTTCTAGATCTTCTTGGGACAAATCGGTGACTACTGTTGAGGCTTCATGTAAGAATGGAGTTACAAGGGTAGGTGCTATTTGAATAGATGGGTAAGGACTGCCATAGGCATCTGGAGGATACAGCGAACTTCCTTGTTTGATAGTTGTAGTCACAGTTTCTATAATGCTTGTCGGTTTTACCAGAGTGTGAAATTCTGTAACTGTGTCTACAATAGTACTAGTTTCAGTTTTAGTTACAAGTATCGTGAGAGTAGATGGAGGACCTCCTAGTGTTTTAATCACCGTTGTCTTTGTTATTGTTATAGTAGACGTCATCGTGTAGGTAATGTACCTTGTAGGTATAACTGGTTTGCTTTCAGTAGTGACTGTAGGAACTACATTCTTCGATGTTGTATGACTAGAATCGATAATTTCATCCACCACTTTTACTTCATTACCAGCATGATGTATGGCTTGTGTAAAGATATCTTTTCTGCTAGTGGATTCAGAAGTCTGAATTTCCTGGGTTTTATGGACATCACTTTCCGCGAGTAACAAATCTGTTGTATCACGGTTGAGCGAAACCGTTGTTTCTGTGGTACTTTCTTGCAAAGGTGTCTCAGATCCAGTAAGTTCCACTATGTTTGTACTTTCTTCACTAGACTCGGTTCTTATAGTTGTAGATTCTTGGGACTCATCTAGATCCAAATTTGGATGGCCGATAATTACCTCCAGAGATGGTTTGGTTTTAATCGTAGGAGATGGAGTAATAACTTTTTCTGTTGTCGAACGAGTGGTAGTACCTCGGTTAATGACATTGTAAATAGGGTAAGTGGGTTTCTTATTATATATGCCACCCTCAGTAGCGACTGGTGTGGTCGTAGAAGTTCTGTAGAGACCTGGTTTTCTTGTATATGGTCGTCTAGGTCTAGTGAATCTATTGTATCTTTCAGTGGTGGTACTTGTGCTGGGTTTGAACACAGGTACTTCTTTTGGTATGTCGACTTCCATGGAAAATATCGGTTTTACAGTTGTGATTGGTTTATTGCTGATAATAGGTTTATGCGTAGATACAAGAGGAGGTGGACTCATTCCTAAAACTTCCTCATCTGTGGTAGTCTGAGGGGGAGGTACCATGGTGTCCAATGGTTCTGGAATGTATGGTTTAGGACTGGATGTACGGTCAATTAGCCCAGATTCAGTTTGAATATTCGGCACCCTTAAGATATCACCTCCATGCGAGTTTATTTCGATTTTTGGTGGTTGCATTTCTACGCCTGGTTTCTTCACGGGTAGATCTGCAATGAGAGGTGGTGGTTTCATGATCTCCATATCCGATAATTCAGTGGTAACGTTGGTATAAGTTACAGTGACTTCTCCGGTGTTCAACTCAGGCGTTGCTACCTGGAGAATAGCACTTGTAGTAGACTTTAGGGGTGGTGCATCAGTAGTAAAATCATTAATAATATTTACTTGATTTGTAGGTTGTGAAGGGTTCTTGTTAGGTATAAATGGTTTTTCAGTTTGAGTATTGACTTGACTAAAGTTTGCTGGGAGAGCAAAAAAATCTTGAGGTTTGCCAGTTTGTGTATCGATAGGTAAAGATGTGACGCTAGGTCTATCTTTGTTTTTGTTGTTCTTGCGATTGAAAAAGCTTTCCTTGTTTTCTATAGTGTCGTCGATGTATATGATAATCGGCTTCTGTGTAGTGGCCTTTGTTGTTTTTGGTTTATATACTGATATAGGACTCTTTGTACTGAAACCAAAAACATTGTCTAGTGTATTTTCTACAAACAATGGGTAACTAGGAGTGGTTGTACCAAGCGGTTTGATTGTCGCCCTATTTGGCTTAGGGGTACTAGAGGGCTTAACGTTAAAGTAGTTATGATTTTCGTCATTCTTCTTATTCACTTCGCCCAAGACATTTGTAAATTGGTTACCACTTACAACGAAATGTTGGTTTCCTGCGTCGTCAAATTGACTGCCCGCAACTACGAAACCATTGGGGCTGTTTTTGTGTTTCTGAGTTGCGTTTTGAGAAGAGTGAATATTAATCCTTTCTGTGATGGGATGGGAGTTTACAAAACCACTAGGTGGTTTAATTCCTGGACGTATTCCATCGAAATTATTTATCTCATTCGTCTGTTGATTCTCTGGTCTTACCACGGGATTTTTTGGTCTAGAAATAGGTGTATGTGGCCTTACAAAAGCATTTTCAGGTCTTGTAACAGTGCCCGGTTGAGGTGATGTGAAGGGTCTAGCATTTTGGGATATAATAGGATATTTGTGCTGAATTATTTCGTTATAACTAGGGAATTTAATTTGCTCATCAGAGGGAAACCGTATCGTGTGATTACCTTTAATACTCGAGCGTTCAGTGGTACTCGTTTTAGCCTTCAGTATCTCAAAAGGTATTTCTCCTGGCAGCAAGGGCCTGCTGTTGGATTCTTGAATTACTTCGCCTTCCTCGTTTTCCAGATCGTCGTCTGTGTGATCACCGATGTCAGTATCGATACCTGATATGTACGACGGAACATAGGACTGACCGAAGCTATTTTCTGGTTTTGGAATATTATATACTTGCTCAACACCCTGATTTGGTGTTAGAGGTATTGGTAGAGGCCTCTTTGTCGGCCGTCGATTATACACTCGCTTAGGTAAAGTAATTTTGTTGACTGGTGGTGGTGGAGTCAAATATTCGGATATTTCGATGTTGGGCCTTTCTGGTCTAGGTGGTCTTGGGCGCAAATTATTCCTTTTTGGTGGTAGAGGTTTACCCTGATGTGGTTTTTTGACTTCAATATTTGACATTGTGTAAGGATCTTCTGGTTTTCTGTTCTCTAATTCATTTTGTAATGGAGGATTCTGTTGATAGAGAGGCCTCTTACTAGGAGGGACCCTAGGGGCTTGCGGGAAATTCGGTCTGATTTCGTTAACGGGTGGATCATAAGGACGGTTGATGTAGTTGCCAGGTTTCCTGTTGATATTTTGATCGTTTACAGGTCTTTGAACTTCGTTCTTGTTGAAGTTCTGAGGGATCTGCATGTAACCAGAATTCCCATCGTTATGTTGCTCTTGTACAACCTCGTATGGAGTAGCTGGAGGCCTGAAATCGATATCTCCATGATTTATAACGTGAGCATTGAAATCGTTATCCTGGTGTACTAACCCAAATGAAATCGGTGGCACATTTATGCTGATTTCGTGGTTGTTTCCAAAAGCCACCTGAGCGTCTTGCTGAGGCTTACTAGGCTTTATATTGAACTTCACGTTCTGATCGCTGGAAGCTGGTTCAATATTAATGAATTGGTTACCGACTTTGATGACCCCATTCACTTGTTTTTGATTCGAGTGTTCGTTGTGGTACACGGAGGCTAGGTGTGGGACGCCATTATTAAATTCTATCCCGGAAAATTCCGGTTCGGGGTAGGGAGAGGGATCATCGAAGTACTGGCCATTCTTGTGTGGTTCGGTGGATCCCCCGTAGATCAGCGCTGTTGTCCTGTTGAAAGGGATGTTTACAAAGGCCACTTGACTCGGTTGAATGTTAACCAGCAACGGTTGACCTGTAGATCTCTCTATTACTTCGGGTAATACAATGGGTTCATTGATGACAGAAGGAGGTTTGATGTTGAAATTGTCTGTTGGTGCGTCCGGTATCATGGAAGCTTGGTGTTGGGCGTAAATAGGATACGAATCTTTGGCGACTGATTCGTAGTTCTGTTGTATGGAATGTTGGATGTTTGGCAAGCTTACTACGTTGTTTATTTCGTTCGACGCGTAAATAGGGCCGTAAGTGTTCTGATTTATAGGATAAGCCTGCTGGTTCAGTGGAATTTCGTTTGTGCCGCCATATCTAATGTTATGAGTCGAATGTTCCGTTTCGTAATACTCCTGAACTTGTTTCCTAGGCGGTAACAGTGGAATATGTTTTCTTTTATCTCCGCGTAGATTTTCTTTGATGGGCGGCGGAGGTCCTATGTAATCGACGTTGTTTTGAGCGTGGATCACATTCGGCATAGGTTTGTCGTTTCTAATGTTTGCAACTGGTATGTGCTTGTACTCGTTGTTTTTTGTCCATTTGTTCGGTACTGGCGGAGGTTTCATGTCTATAGGAACATCGTTTTCTGTATTGATGTGATTCAGGGGAATAGTTGGAATTCTTGGACCTATCCTTCCGGGCTTGCCCACGATTACGTCTGAATTCGCCGTTATTACCTCCCCTGGGGATATAGGTATTCCGCCATTTAAGAGAGGCGCCTCGTGAGTTGTTTTACCCGGTAAGTGATTCCTTGGAGGTGGATCCACCCAGTCGAACGTGGCGATGTTTTGACTCTCTGCTATTTCAAAGTCATCAGCTAACCCTCCTACGGGTATGTATATGGGCGATCTATTCTGAACGTCTACAGCGGGCGGCACCACGTGAGCATCATTTTTCAAGGTCAACTTCGGCTTTGGGGTAGTCGTGGTCGTTGTGATGTTCGCGTCGTTTCGTCTGTTTGATTTTAAATTAGTACTGATCAGACCAGCCATTGCGTTTAAAACGGGTGTCAGTGCCTGTATGTTTATGCTGCCTAGCCCTAATAGATCCCCGGCCGGTGCTGCTGGCGGTTTGACTATTTTAGTTCCAGCAGATTGTTTCTTTTTATCGTTCTGAAGCTTCAGATTCTGATTTGGTGATTTATTTTTATCTGCAGTTTCAGTCTGTTGACTGGGAGGCTTAGTTTTAGTTGGAGTGACCACATTTGACTGAGTTTTGACTTTACTCTTTGTAGAACGTTTGGTTTTGCCTACGGATGTTGAGACCTTCGTGTTCTTTACGATCTCTGAGCTCAGCAGAGACCCCAAATTGTTTTGCAAAGTAGAAGTTTTCTGTTTGGTATCGAGGGTAGGTGTTGCAGCGAACTGCGCAAATGGATCATCGTCGACGAAAACTATTGTAGATCCCGTAATTACATTCGACAATGATGAAGACGAGGGTTTTGGAGAGGGTTCCATACTGCTCATGGTTTCATCCGGATCTTTCGTCTTTTCAATAGGCAGGACTTTAGTCGGCTTAATTTTTTCCTGCATCTCATTTGCAATTGCAGTAATTTCAATTTTTTGACCGTCATGTAACGTTGCAACTTTAATTATGCTGTTAGATCCCTCCCTAATTTCGCTTTTTAGTATATTTAAGTATTTCTTATCTAGTAGGTCGGGATTTATTGTTTCTGTCACCAAATTTTCAACTACTCTCGTTCGGGAACTTATGATCGTAGGACTTTGTGGATTATTTTCTTGTAGCATGGTAGTGAAGTAGGTAAAAGTGGTGAAATAAGTTTTCGTTGCCAGAATATAGAAATTTTCACCCGGCGAATCAACTTTGTGTTTCTTTTCATCTTTAAGAACCGAGGAACTTGTCACCACACTATTTGTTTTCTTGGGATATAAATACAATTTCTCAGTTACCACATCACTGGAAGTGGATATATTGGTATTTATCACAGGTTTTCCGTTCTCCATAATCGTGTTAAAGTACGTATATGTAACGAAATAAGTTTTTACGACGTCTGTTGTTGTGTACGGAGACATCGGCATTGAACTTGAATCTTCCACGTCCAGTGCAATGTAAGACGTCATAACGGAAGTGGCTCTTGGTGGTACACTTTCTGTTATGACTACTTGAGTTACAACTTCGTTGGTGCTTACAACAGACGATTGATCACCATCGTATATCGTCTTCTTAAGAGGGATGGTGCTGTAGTAAGTGTTTGTGTCTTTGATTGCGGACACTGTATGTGACGGTTGTAGAAGGGACAAATAGTCGTCAGGAGCGGTGACTGTGTTGGTGACGGTATGCTTTGACGAAACTACAAGCGGCTGTTCTCCATCCAAAATGGTGTTGAGATATGTGTACGTTGTGTGAAACACTCCAACAGATAAGTTTGGATACTGTAAACAAATTATAAATTAATGGCGTTTTAGCAGTTATTAGAACACGTACCTGAGTCAAAGTAATGCCCATAGCTGGGGTAGGTAAAATTTTACCCGTGTTCCTTTCCTCGGTAGCAATATTAGACACGACTTGCTCGTGACTAGATACGGTAGTTGTACTGCCTTCCAAGTAAGTTGTTAGGTAAGTGAATGTTGTTAGACATGTTTTCGTCACAAATTGATTTGGGTAGAGTGAAGACGCCAGGCCGTTGAGCTGTAATTTTTTTGAATTACAATTTAAGTAAGTTGAATTTTATAAAAGGAACTTACGTTTGCCGATTCTTGCGGCAACATCATGACCATGTGATCCGTTAGGGTGCTGGGCTTCAGCGTAACGGGTTTCTGGACATTACTGGGAGCCACCCTCTTGATATCAGGTTCTCCTGGTAGAGTCGTCTTGTCGCCTGCCACTATAACTTCGACACCATTGGACATTATTCTTGTCGCTAAGTTATACCTCGCTTCCTCGTGACCTCTACCTGCATTTTCTATGGCGAAATATTTATTAGGGGGTTGTAGAACAGTACAATCAACTTTCGCTACAATTTTTACATTACTATTTACATTAATTGTTAAATTTGGAAAAGAAAATGAACGTAAAAGAAGACATTCCTGGGATCTGAAGAGATTTATTTTTTTACATTGAGTGAAATAATTTTATACAAAAGCTGACTCACCTTGGTTAAGAAGTTGAGGTGGGGAGTTATCCAAAGTGGGAATTGTGGTCGTTTCAAGCTCTGTCAGTGTCTGGGTGGCGTCGAAGTCCAGAAGAGTTAAAGTGGTATATTTTGTGAGGGGTTCGGTTATAATACTCGTCTGTATCTGTGGTTTCACTTCGGTGGTGGAAGTCACTATCTGTTCAGTGCCGTGCACTCTGGTCACGATAAACGTAAATGTTCTTAGTCTACTTTGTACAATAGTTTTCGTCAATAGTTCGATAGAAGAGAGTACTGTGGTTTTTAAGAGAAGTACGGGGGCATCTAGGGATTCCGTGAGTTCAGGGAAAAAGGGTTCGTATTCGGGGATGCTTTGGAATGTAGGCGATTCGGTGTTTTCATCACTATCGTTTTCATCGTCAATTAGATTCTCTTCTGTGACGTCCTCCACTTCGTCAAGTTTGCTTTCTTCAGAATCGTATTCACTATCATTTCCATTTTCATTTTCCAAAGTTAATTCATTTTTGGGACTCTCTACCGGTGGTAATGTTTCATTGGGACTCTCCGTTTCTCTATCTTCATAATCCTCGTTATCTTCATCGTCATAATCCTCGTTATCCACATTTTCTGTAGTCGTTTCTTCAGTGTTACCTTCATCTGACTCATTTTCTATATTATTCTCTTCAGTTGCATCTGTACTATTCTCTTGATGACTAACCAGAGTTTCTTTAATCAAATGCGCTATTGTTGTCTCTACTACCATAGTTGTCGTAGTTGAAGATTCAATAGTTTCGCTTTGTGAACTGAAATCTAGAGATTTGTCACGTCTTGGTAAGAGACGTTTCCTCGTAATCACGATTTTTCTTCTAGGCTTAGTGGCTTGTTGCAAATGATCTTCAGGTTCTTTACTTGGAGGATCAACTTGTTTTAGATCATCTAAAGATTCGGTACTTGTACCATTTGGGTTGTCCCATTTTTTTAGCAGCCTTTTCTTTTTCTTTACTCTCAATCGTCTTCTAGCTCTCCTAGTAGTCACCTCGATTTCGCTATCTGTTGTGGGACTGACATCTGTTGTATTCCTTGGTTGAACTCTGACCAGTTTCTTCACTATTCTCTTTCTTTTCTTAACTGGTGGCGCCTCTATAACATCACTCACGTCTCTCTTCTTCCTTAAATTAATGTGAGTAGCATCTCTAATTCCTACTTTTACATCTAAGTCTACATTATTGCCATCTTTATTCGAAACGTAAATTTTATTGTTAGTTTCCGTATTAATAGACTGGCCCCCTAGAGTTAGTAACGTTTCGACCTTCGGCACGAGCGGGGCTACTTTGCTAAGGTCACTTACGCTAAAAAATCATCGGAAGATTTTTGGCTTTCTTCCGAAGCTTTTACGTATTTAATTTTGTACTTTTTCGACGCCAGGTTCGATTTGGTCGGTTTTACATTGAACAATTCGGGAGTGCGGGTAGTTAAATGTTTTCTAACATCTCCTATTATGCTCTCCAAGCTTTCTGTTTCTTTGGTAATTTCGGAAGCTTCTAATTGTACGTCTTTCGCAGTCGGCATAACGTAACTGTCATAGTGATCACTACTAGCAACTTCCGAGGGGTCGTCCACTGTAATTGATGGTCTTACCGGTATGTATGGTACCTCTCTCTTTCTCCTGTTATTTTCTTCTCCAATTGTTACCGTTGAAAGGACAGTCGTAAACTCCCCAGGTGTTCTTCCGGACACGTACAAGGTTACCACGCTGGTTTCTTTAGGTGGTGCCACTGGAGCTGGTTTATTCTTCTTGTTATTTCTCGAGACTTTTCGTCTAGGAGCCGGGGTCACTTCGTCGGCAGCTTGTAACTCGCTAGAGTCATCTATAGCCAAATTGAACTGTTCTGGTTCTTGGTATAGGGCCTGCGCTTTGGGCTGGTCATTGGGCAAATTGAAAGCGGGTTGTTGCGGTGCTGCTTGTTGCAACTGTTGTTGCAGCAGAGGTAGCAGTAGAGCCGTATTTAACTGCGGGGGTACAGGGAACCCTAGGGTTGGTGTAACAACAACTGTATCAGTTAAGAATTCCGTAGCGGTAATAACATTTACGCTGCTGTCTACGATCGTTGTTAAAATTTCTTTTCCTCTAAATGTCAATGGGATCACGGTAGATGTTTGGCTAGTCACCGTAGTCACATAAGTTGTGGTTCTGGTCTTGTATTCCGTAGTTGGTGAGGGTGGTGCTCCCAGGACTGGTTGCTGCAGAGCCAACAACGGGTTGGTCTGTGGTTGCAAACCGCCTAAAAGTAGCTGAGAGAGCAAAATATTTGCTAGTGGAGCTTGAGCGGCCAGTGCTGGTTGAATGGTGTTCACCACTTCTTCTACATCGTAAACGGTGCTTGGTACCACGTGCGAGAACGATGTTTTCCGCCTGTTAATGTACGTGGGGGTAAATATAACGCTAGTAGTCGGAGTTTCGTTAAGGATGAACTGTGTGATCAATGTGGCTCCGTTATTCCCTACGCCTGTGTTTTCACTTAATAACACTTTCAATTCTTTGCCTAAGGCGTTTACAGATGTTGAATATTGCCTAGGATCTAAGACTTCGGTGCTATGGCTGGCAGATACGACATTTTTATATTCCGTTATTTTGCCGTTTACTACTGGTATACTGACCTCTGTGGGTATGTGATGCGTCACAGTTATTGTGCCGTCGAATTGTGGAACTACAAAGTTAGTATCGATAGTTTTCTGATTATCCTCTTTTTGATACCTAGCTCTTGCGTTGCTTTGAGTTCTGCTTCTAGTAGTAGTTCTCGACTGCTGTCGATTACTAGATGTAGGTTTTCTGTGTACGGTTGCCTCTGTCTGATAATTATTTCTTAATCTTGGCGATTTTGGCCTAGATGCTGCAGTTGGCCTCGTAGTCCTTGTAGAAGTGGTTTTTGGCCGCTTGAAATTAGATCTGCCTGAAGAGGAAGAAGTCGAAGATGTATCTTTTTCTCTAAGCGTGAATTGTGATCTGCCCTGTTGAGATGTTTTACTCGGCGATATTCTTTTACGGGTTGTAGGAGCAGATGTAGTAGTTTGTGCAGATTTTGCAGTTTGTGCAGATTTTGCACGGTTCTTTGGTGTAAATCTACCTCTTCCTGTATTTTTAGGGCCTTCTGTCTCTACATCTTCTTGAGGTGGTGGCGCAGCAGTGGTTTTGCCTGTGGGTCTTCTGAATCTCGAATATGTGTCTCTCCTTGTTCGTTTTCTAAAGAATGGTCTTATTTGAATATTACTGGATCTTCCTGTTCTTGTAGATGGAGGAGTGGGAGGATTGGCTATTTGGGTGTTGGTTAGAGAGCTATCGTAATCGGTATCTTCCTCAACATCTCCTTCTTCCTCAAGATCTTCCATATCTTCTTCCTCTTCCTCTTCTTCAAGAGGTGGAGGGGTCGTAGTTGTGAATAGCCCTCTTCTGGGGAAGAGCCCGTTAGACCTGGGCCTGCTGAGTAAACTGCTAGGTCTATTATACGAAATTTTCGGTTTGGGAGTGGTGGATGTAGCTTTTTTGTTGTTCAAATTTCCGTTTTTACCAGATCGGGTAGAGGCCCTGGAAGCCTGAGTAGGACGAGGAAGAGGGGGTCTTCTAAACCTTAATAGAGGGTTTTGACTACGCCTAGATGCACCTTCTGTTGTAGTCTGTAGAGCGAGGGTGGTCTCAAATTCTTCGCCAATGTTATCTGTTGGATTATCAGTTACCAAAGTTGTCAAATCATTTTCTTCCTCATTCGATGCTTGCGTTACAAGGTTGGATTTAGGTGACCTGTTCAGGCCGGACACTGCAGTAGGACGAATTTTAGGCCTAGCACCATAGAGAGAACTTGATCTGAGAGCTCCGCCTGCGCTAGAAGATCTAAAACCTCCTCTTCTGGAACTGGCACCGAATCCGCTCGCCGTTGGCTGAATCCTAGCAGAACTGCCTCTCTTTGCTCCAAAAGCTGAAGAACTGGCACCGCCAGCCGTAGATTTTGGTCTGGCAAATCGTCTGCCACCAGAAGCAGTCGGTTGAACGACTTGAGCGCCCGAAGAGGTACGTCTGCCTCCAAATCTGTTGGGTTTAGATGCTGGAACCGCGGTCACTGTAGGTGTGAAGTTGCTCCTTGTAATAGTTGCAGCTGTGCTTTGGCCTGATTGTTTTCGTTTGGGCGCGAACGTAGGTCTTTGACGCGACGCAAACGGTCTAATAGCCGGAGTGAAAGTTCGTTTTTTGGACTGGAATGTCAGTCTGGATTTTGTTCTGCTACTATCTGGATCGTCCTCCTCCTCTTCTTCTTCTTCGCCGGTTTCTTCTGTAGAAGTTTCATCTTCTGATTTAGAGGAATCACTGATCGATCCTTCTATAACTACTGGTGACGGAGAGATAGTGTCCGTTGCAGCTATTTGCTGATCAGGCGCCTGAGTGGGTGATGGGACAATTTCGCTTACAGCACTTGGTTTAACATTTCCTACCAAGAAGCTGGAAGTGCTTTCTATTATTTGAGCGTATCTTCCATCGATGACGGTACCCAACACTTTAGATTCGTACAAGGTCGTTGTATCATTTTGTATGATAGAGCCTTCTATAAGCCTCACTAATCCTGTTCGATGTATAGGTAGATCTGTGGGCAGAGCAGCCTTCTTTTCTTCATCAACTACAAGGGAACTTGTACTACTGATCACCTGGGCGTATCTGTTATCTGTATACGTGCCCACGGCTTGTGTAGTGTAAAACAAGGTGCTGACGCCTTCTGCATCGACAATTTTTCCTTTGTTGATGCTAACCACGCCGGTTGGTTTCAAGTTTTCTGTTGTCACGGAAGACGGAGCAATTGTTTTCGAGATAATAGTCGAGGTACTTTCGAGAACTTTTGCGTATAATCCTTCTATGTACGTACCATATACGCCTGTTGAATGAATAGTGGTAGTATCGTCATTTTCTTCGGTGTTCATTATGGTAGATAGTAATCCGGTAGGTCTAATGGTACTGGTGATACTGGTTGGTTCTATCTTCGGTTTTTCTATAGTATCGTCTAACTGATTTTCAGTACCGGAACCAACAGTACGTCCGATTTGATTCGAATCTATTTCTGCAGAGTTATTCACAACATTAGTAACGGTTTCGAGTCTGCTGTTCAAGACGGTACTATTTCCAATGTAGGAAGTTGTGAAGTACGTGTAGGTGGTAAAATATGTAGTCAGATCGTCTTCTCCTACCGTAGACGGTACAATGTTCTCGGATTGTGTAGGCACTATATCGTCAGCAGGGGGCGCAGTTACAATCGGAGTTATACTAATGGAAGGAGCTGGACTAGTAGCTTCTATTGTAGGAGTAACAACATTGGAAATTGTTTCCTCGCGACTCGTAACTTTAGTGGTACCGTTCTTATAAAGAGTAGTCCAGTACGTGAACGTGGTGAAGTAAGTTACTGGCAGGCTCAGATCCTCTGCACTTAGGGTTTGTGTTGGAGTTAATGTTTGTGTGACCACGTTGGTCACCGTCTCTAACCTGCTAACTACATTACTCGAAGTCGTACCGTGATACATCGTCGTGAAGTATGTGAAGGTGGTGTAGCTTGTTTGCAGCAACAAGGTGGGGGATGGAAGGATTTCGGAATCGTTGTTAGATTCAGACACTATTTGATCGTCTAATACGTTTCTTTTATCTACGTTGTCTATAATTCTTCTATCACCTTCGGAAGTACTACTACGTACGTCGGTGACCATCGTAGCTATAGTTTCGTAGTCACTTAGATTCAAAATAGCATTTTCAGTAATTTCATTATCCACCGTCGTGGTACCACCACGTTGCAATGTGATATAACCCTGTTCTTTTATACTCGGAGTAGCTGCCACCACGTTATTATCATGATTGAATGTAACGGACGAATAAATTTCATTCTCTTTCTCTGTTTGTTCTTCAGTCAGCACCGTTTTATGATGTCTGTTAATAGTGTTGTAACTATTCTGAGCTGATACATTTAAGCTGGCGATTTTTCGCCTTATTTCACTTTCTTCATTATCATCATCTTCCTCTGGTAGTTCTAATTGATCCTTGGTATCTTCTTCTAATTCTTCAATTTTTGTAGGTGAAATGTTATCATCAACAGCACTAGGTTGTACTGTAGGAGTTACATAGTTCGTGTACACCTCTGTTCTACTAGAAATATCAGTTGCACCGTCCACGAAAATTGTGGTAAAGTAAGTGTAAGTAGTGTAATATGTTTTAATTCCATTATGAGCGACTTTTTCATTATCAAGCGTTGGCGTTGCCTTCAACAAAGATGACCCTTCTTCGTTATTTTCATCTCCGTTTTCATTATTCTGGAATATGTGAGCGGTTGAAGTACTTTCGTCATCTACACTGCTAGGCTGAATTTGTGTTATGTCTTCGAAAGATACGGTTTTTGACTTGTATGTTGAGATTAAATTATCATCTCCTTCGAGTAGCCCTGCTACTGCGGGGTCTGTAGCTTCGCTACCGGGTTCTAATGTAGATGTGATGACATTAGTTGTTACGACAATCCTACTGGCTATCGAAGTCGTAGATTCTTGGAAATACGTCGTGAGGTAAGTGTAAGTGGTATACAATGTTTTGTATATCAGTTCAACCTCGTCACCGTCTTCAGTAGTGCCCTCGATTGCATCTTCCTCTTCTTCTGTGACGTGTCTTTTTTCTGTGGTGATTTCCTGAGGAGTTATCTCCAAGGATTTAAAGGTGGTTACTTCCCGTTCAGTGGTAGCCATTTCTTCGAAGATTTCGCTTGTCTGTTCTGTGCTGCTTTCTTCTGTAGTGATTCTCAACCCTTCTTCATGTATCATGGTGATATGTTCATCATTCTTAGGTGTAGTAGTGGTGTCTACTTGCTGAATGGTCGTAGAGGGAGAGATGGGTTCATCGCAGGGTAAAGTTAGGAAGCCTATTTGTGTCGACACCACTTCGTTGGATTTGACTGAAGTGGTGGACCCATCACCGACTGGAAGGAAGAACGTTGTGAAATATGTTAAAGTTTTGTAAATTGTTGTAGGTGTAATCTGACTTCCTTCGGTGCACTCAACATCTGCATTTTCTTGTTTTTCTTCGGTTTCCGGCGATTCTGGAAGCATTTCTGGAGTTGTCTCCTGTATAGGTATGGTACTAATGATGTCACTGGTTGTTAAAATTTCATTAGTAATATCGAGTTGTTCTAGAGTAGTGGGCAATTGCTTTGTAGTTTCTGGTAATTTTTCTGTCGTAATGAGGTTTTGGTTTATTTCTTCTTCTGTAGTACCAGCCATGCTTTCTTCGACTGCCTGAGAAGCTGCAGGAATTTCTACCGCGCTTGTTTCTATGGGTGCATCTTCCTCGAAAAATATTGTGGTTGCCCCACCGCTGGCTGAAGTAGTCGTTTCTTCTTGATTTTCATCGAAGAATATCGTCGATGCAGTTTCCAGCGGTTGCGTGGATTGTTTAGCTTGTGCTTGTAGTAAAGCGAAGATTTTGGCGATATCTTCATCCGATGGAGTCGACAACATCGTCGGTTTACTTTCCGATGGTTCTATGAGGTCTGGTGTAAAAGCTGCAAGCGTAGATGTGCTACTAGAAGAGCTTGTAGTACTGTCCTGTCCTTGTTCATGAGCTAAAACTGCTGATTTGGCTTCCATATCGACACGTTCTTCCGTTGTTTGAGTACTAGGATCTCTTGATCTATCTGTTTTATCTATAACGATTGTAGGCATTAGTGTTTTCATCTCTTCTAAGTCATCGGTTTGAGTTTGTGTAGGTTGTTCTTCCGGCGTTTCTTCCTCAATCGGTTGTTCTACTGGTTGTTCTTCAGCTGGTTTTTTATCAGCTTGTTCTTCGGCTGGTTGTTCTTCGGCTGGTTGTTCTTCGGCTGGTTGTTCTTCGGCTGGTTGTTCTTCTGGTTGTTCTTCTGGTTCTTCTTCCAGTTGTCCTTCTGGTTGTTCCTCCGGTTCTTCTTGTTTTTCAGTTTCACTTGGTACCTCTGGTGTCTGCTGCAGTAACGTGGTTACATCTGGTGAACCAAGTAATGTAGCAGTTGGTTGAATAAGAGTGGGTTCTACAGATATCTTTGTAGTTTCTGCGAAATTTTCGTTAGTAGTGGACGTATGAGGAGTGAATATTATTACTGTGTCGCCGACGGTAGTGGTGAAATCTGCGAACCCTGTGTATGTTATGGATGTAAAATCTCTAGGGTTCGGTTTGGTCAAGCCGGCTCTAAACAGTAATTTCGCCTTTCGTTCTGCGGGGGTCGTGAGTTTGGAGCGTTCTGTACGACTATCGAATTCAGGAAAATCCCCTAGGTAAGAGAGTCCCGAAGGGGAGAATTCATTTCTCACGGTGAAGGTCGGTAAGTTGTCCCAAGGTCGCACTTTGGACGGTCCGAAATCTTCTGAAGGCTTTTCCACAGGTTCCTTGTGGTTTATAACGTTTTCTAGGGTTATGTCTCTGTCCTGGGGGCTGATTTTGAAAACTTTGACGTTACTTTGCTGAGGAATGCCGTCCTTATTCTTTAGGTTTTCTTCGAAAGGCACCCTGAAGTTATTTGAAGGCGATTCTTTCAGTAGTTCTTCCTCTATTACGTCTTGGGGACTTCTAGGCGTTTCTTCTTGCTTGTTAGTCTCGAGGGGGGCATATTGGATGGGACTTTCGGTAGGAAATACGTATACGGCATCCGCTCTGGTGGGAACGATGTAATCGGTGTTTTTTATGAATTGTTTGGTGTTAATGGCGTTAGCGTTTACTTTCCAATATTTCTTCTTGTGCGGATCGTATGATTTCGAGGGAGAATCGTCATAGAGGACTCTGGAGCTCTTGGTGAGCAAGTGGGCGTACAGTCGTCCATTGTCTAGGGTGGTACCGAGCACTTGCGTGGCGTACTCAGTCGTGACCCCTTCTTGTATGAAGGTACGTGCTGTCGAGGTAATAAGGCCTAGGTCGGGTTTAACACTGAGGAACCTTCCAAAGGAGGACCTTCCATTACTGTCCACCAGCAGAACTGTGGTGAGATCTATAGTTAAGGAGGGAAACAGTCAGTTTTTACATTACAGAGCGATATGGTACATTCTTATGAGAACGGGACGTTACTGAGGGGGATAGCTTTGTACAACAGCGTTAGTCTGGGGATCATATAATTGCATACCCAAGATATTGAATTCTAGGAATTAAAATTTATTTCTTCTAATTTGCTATATCGTCTAACGTGGGCATCTTTAATTTATGATGTTTTTCTAACAGCTTATTGCGTTTAAATTTATTTCGTACACGGTAAAGATATGCAATTACATAATTACTGCATGGTATTAAAAATTTATTGCATTTATACAGTTAAGTACTACAAAATTACCATGTTTACTAAAGGTATTAATGTTTTCTTTTAGTAATGACGAAAATATCCCACTCATCCTTGACATTTTATTTGATAATGATTGTAAAACTACGTAATGGCAACCAGGAGGATCGTAGAAGGCTTAGATATTCACGCTCAACTTAATTGATTATTCATAGCAGGATCCGTTTAATGAATGATTTAAATCTAAGATAGAAACGGACAAATGGAGTAAATTTATTTGTTCAAATTGGTATTCAGAATTTTCTTAAGGTCTTCTAGTACTTTCTAAAACGGATGGGTAATTTAAATATGTATGACTTTACGAGATTATTTGGTCTTGTTAATAATGATTATTTTGAAGCCTCAAGTGAATTGTTGAATAAGAAGATGACTATGAAAAACGTATAAATTTAATAACGACGACTTTTGACATTTACTGTTTGTACGCCGTTGCGTAAGGAAATACTTTTACCAGTATGTAATCAGCAATTACAGGCATAGTTCTGTCAATAATTTAATTAATTCGTTTTTGGGTGTATCTGTTTAGTTTTGCTAAAAAATAGTAATGACTGTACACTCGCTTACGTTTCTGAAATTAATATTTATAAACATAAAACTGTTCCTAACATGAATCATGCAGTAGGCGTACCTACAATTCTTTTGTCTTCTCGTAACCGTGGCATTTCAAGAATTCTTTTCGTCCTTCAGGGATCTAGCGAATAATTATAAACATTTTTTTATAGCTCGACAGGATAATTCGATATCATTCGAAACATAATTCTTTTTGTTCTCGGAACCTTGACGGTCGTTTTATATTGGATCCTTTAAACTGGGGAATTTGTAGTTTTGGATAATACTTCGTACTAAAACCGGGGCTATCTACACACTACTAGCATGCTCTGCTAAATCTGTCTTTACAGTACCGTTTACCAAAAAGTTAGAGCCATTCCTACGATATTTAAAAAAAATGGTACCTTTGTCGTCCTGCCTTCTCCTTCTGGGTGATGTGTTTACGTAATCTTGACCTGCAAGAGAGAGAAACAGTATGTATTAGTGACATTTGAAATTTACTTTAGACGTTTAGACGTAGGGGCAAAAGGTGAGCTCTAACTAAAAAAACAATGAACTAGTTTTATCTTAATGTTAAAACATAAATTATATCTATATAATTTTCTGCGATTAAAAAAATTTAAAAATGCATATTCACGCTGAAATAAAGATATTTTCAAATCATTATTTAAACCCCTTTTGGGACCGCTTCTGACCGCTGACCCACAGAGGTTTATCGAGAGTGAATCTTGACCTACCGCATTATTCGGTCATTAACCTAGTTTTTACTGCGTTTTTAATGCGTAGCGAACGACAAGGAATAAACAGATCTTTTTACCTAGACACAACAATGAATTAAGATATTTTTTTTATATTTTAAATATTAACGAGTATTATTTATTTATTAATAAACAAATTTATAAAGATAATAATTGTTGTCGAATGTGCGGCTATCACAAGTTAGTATTTTTAATATTGTTAAAGTTTTCACTATGTTTTATAAATGAATGAGTTTTTAGTATTATGTTCCATTAATTATTCAGTTTATAGTACGTATACCTAGTGACTTATTGCTTTTCAAGGAATAATGTGATTTAAAAGGCCGATATGGCTAAAACAACACTCATATCCGTCTATAGCACTTTGTTAATAAAATTGGGATCTACTGCACTTTGATTCAGAAAATGTGATGCAAAGTAGACCGCACAATTAGCGGGAATTTAAGGGTAATTTGGTTATTTTTTCGGGTAAATTTTTGTTTTTTTTTGATTTACTGTCTTTATTATTCCTTTCGAATACGTGGTTAAAAGTCATGACTATATGACTGAATCACCCTGTACAGTGAAGTGTATTTGTTTTCCCTATTTGTCTGTTTTTTTCAGTGTAAGATTTTTGGTTAGGACAAATTATTATCGTAAAAATGACTCTTGATTAATTCTTTTGGCACAAGGATTTATTTCATTAATTTTTTAAATTTTTTCACAGGTGGCAAAGTAACCAAATAAATGCTTTTAGTGAAGAAAAACTCCAGTTTTTTCAGTATAACAATAAAACGATTATAAAATAATAAATAACTATTATCTAAAGGAATATTTTAAAAAATCGCTTAATACAAATATTGAACCATGAAAATAATAAATGTCATTATTTTTCACTTTCTTATGAAATTTCTTTCAATACAATTCTCTTTACAAGTTGAATAATGCAAAAGTGAAGCAATGCGATTTTGACTAATTGATTTGTGAAGCTGGATTGAGTGAAATGCTTTAGTGAAGAAAAGCTCCAGTTTTTCCAGTATAACAATAAAACGATTATAAAATATTAAATAGCTCTATTATCTAAAGGAATATTTTAAAAAATCGCTTAATACAAATATTGAGCCATGAAAATAATGTCATTATTTTTCACATTCTTATGAAATTTTTAACAATACAATTTCTTTTTACAAGTTGAATAATGCAAAAGTGAAGCAATGCGATTTTGACTAATTAATTTGTGAAGCTGGATTGAGTGAAATGTTTTTAGTGAAGAAAAGCTCCAGTTTTTTCAGTATAACAATAGAACGATTATAAAATAATAAATAGCTCTATTATCTAAAGGAATATTTTAAAATATCGCTTAATACAAATATTGAACCATGAAAATAATAAATATGTCATTATTTTCACTTTCTTATGAAATTTCTTCCAATACAATTTCTTTTTACAAGTTGAATAATGCAAAAGTGAAGCAACGCAATTTTGATTAATTGATTTGTGAAGCTGGATTGAGCGAAATGCTTTTAGTGAAGAAAAGCTTCAGTTTTTCCAGTATAACAATAAAACGATTATAAAATAGTAAACAATCCTATTATTTAAAGGAATATTTAAAAAAACCGCTTAATGCAAATATTGAACCATGAAAATAATTAAATATATCATTATTTTTCACTTTGTTATGAAATTTATTTCAATACAATTTCTTTGTACAAGTTGAATAATGCAAAAGTGAAGCAATGCGATTTTGACTAATTGATTTGTGAAGCTGGATTGAATGGAATGTGTTTGCAAATAAAGAGTTCTGCTTATTTCGTAAATATGGTCTTTCTACTCAAATCTTTTACAGAAATGTTGCATTGTCTCCAAAAATTGTAAATCAGAATGTAAGTTTCATATTAGTCTGATGTTGGTAGCCGGAAAATGATATTGTGGGAAAGCACTACTCTGCGGACTAATTCGTCAGTAGAACCACCAGACACATACCGGTTTCGAACTTATTAGTTCCCCATCAGCATGCCACGGCTGTTACTTCTCGAGGTACCCTCGTCACTAGTTTCGTAAGAAAATTTGCACCGTTACAGTTTTAAAAAAAGAATCAAACCTGCCCGCAATTGGCATTTGAACAGCCGTTCCGCACGTGACTTGCCTCGGTGGCCGACAAGAAAATGGCACATGGACGGCTCTTAAGCAGGTTGATGCGAGAAGAATGTGTGTTTCTGGGTGTAAGTTCACCGCGGACGATGGGTGTGTCGTTACTTTCATAATCGTGGAATCGCCCGGAGGTGTATTCACACGGATCCGGCGGTTCTTCCGTCTCAAATTCGGATTCGGACGCACACGTTAGAGCGAATTCTGGGTCAGTTTCGGCTCTAGACGAAAGTTCCGCGGTTCGGGAACGCAGATAGCCAATTAATCGATATCTGGTGTACAAAAAAGGCGATTAAAATCTCGTCTCGGAATGTACAAGTTACGTTTTGAGGTACGAGTTGAATTAGAATGAGTTGTAGTTTCTAATTTAACGAGACAGTAATGATTAATGGTTTTTTGTATAGAAAAGTTGATGGATGGGTGCTGGTTTAAAGTTACGTGGTAATTTGCAAGTAAATCCGCAGTTTCTAACTTCGTTTCTGAAAAAACTTAATTCAAAGTATCAAGATGAAATTAACATAATACAAGGTCCAAGGTGTACATTTTCACTTGTATGAATAAAATATCGCATATTTGTCGTGCCGAAACTCTGCTTCTATTTATCATTTGGCCATGATGTTTCGTTGAATAAGACAGGAATTTGGCTACAACAACTTTAAAATTGATCGTGATAAAACGTAACATAAATTCTGTTATCAAAGTGCGCAGAAACTTTTAAAATCAATACCTAGTTTATAAATATTAAAATTCCAAAAAAAATGATTTTAAATATTTTCTACTTTTTAAGGATTAAAAAATGTATATAAATACCCAGAATAAGGGACCCGTTAATTTTATGTTAATTAACATGTTTTCTAAATTGTAACTAATTTTTTTATTTATTGTGTATAAAAGTAGCAAAACAGAGCCCTGTCTCGTCTAGATATACTATATTCCGAGCTATATTACCATATAATAATAATACGATTGTCAAATTTTTTATGTTTAAAATCGCATGGTAATAAAGCATGTGTAAAATATCTAAAGATTTATAATTATAATCGGGATAATCACTTCATTTATCTCGAATCATGTTTAAAGTAGGAACTTTGTTTTCTTTATACATATTATAAATTGTGCGCCGTATTACATCTAGTAAAATCGTCAATTTTCTTGAATTTTGTATTTTTCCGTTTCCTCTTTGTACCGTGATCAGTCCTTTAATCACGCGATAAATTGACCTTTTTTGGATATCTTAGTTAATTCGTTAATCCGTTTCCTAACTTTTTTATTTTAAATTTTCAAACATTCATATAAATTTAATATAATACATTGACTTTTTTCGTGTAAATCTTTGTTTTTAAACTCGACTTGTTTCGATACTTTCGACAAAAACCGGTTCCACTATTTGGGGATTTTCCCAAGTTATTTCGTTATCCTCCGCTTCAAAGAGTCTCCAGAGAGCCACCCTAAATTACTAGATAATTACATATAACATTTATTTTAATAACTATTACCCTTTACTGGTTACGATATGAACAAATAATAATATCAACTAATAAATAATAATACGTATTATACCAACAACATACCCCGCCAAGCAATGCTCTGCACGGCACTGGCAAAGCGGCAAAGCTAATGAACCCGTGTACCATACAAAAAAAATATTTACGACCTAGAGGACCAATACAGGTTTGTTTTGATGACCAGCACGCCGCCGTCAATTCTACATCAGTAGACTAGTTTACCAATACCGGATTCGCCGAATTGCTATTCGAGTATAAATTACGAGACACATCATGGTCAAAGCATAAGAAGAAATTTCAGGAGAAGTGATACGGTCCTGTGCTTTAAGATTTACAGGTTCCAATTGACATCGTAACAACTAATGTTTAATGTAAATGAATGTAGTCTAAAATTAATGATTAGGTGTTACGTTTTAACAAAAAATAGAATTTACATACAATATTCAAGACATTACACAGCACACTGAGGGAAAACTAGTAGAAAGCTTAAATTTATTGAAAACATCAAATACTGAATGTTGCAGATTACATTTAGTTAATTTGAAAAATTTATATTCATCATTTTTAAAATATTATTTATTTTCCACAATCACATTAAGTCAACGAGTTGTCAAGGAAGCATGTAGGGTAGAACAGCATCAACCATTATTGTGCATGCATAATGTGAGGTGCGAATGCGCATCATTGAATTGATACTTGTAAAAATTCGTGGTTAATAAAAACAGTGTGAAAATTATAATAATTTAAGTAAATCTAATTCTTAAACGAAGAAAGAGGCAAGTGGCAATTCCGTACAAGCACAAAATTTCGATGAGGACGGGAAAATTTTCGATCACGCACGTTGGACACACGCCGAATTTCAAGTTGGATTTGTAAGTAAAATAAGTGAAATTGAGGTTAGCATAATTGACTAAATTACAACCTTATACTACTACGTCTGGAAGTGCGAAATTTGTAAGTCTTTGTTATCTCCACTTCTCGAGCGTGGATTTAATTATTATTAATGGTTTTATTCCGGACCGGGAGCAGGTCGTGATAGTTATTTTGTTACAAGCTAGAAATATG